ATCACATTTATGAAATGGTGACCTGTAATGGTTATATACAACCTGGAGACATTGAGATAAATTTACTGAAATACTTAGAATACACCAATCTTCATCTTTTTTTCCTAAAAGTGAAAACATAAACCACTAGAATCATCTGACAGATGAAGGGAGTTTAATTTACAGGGGGAGCCGCAATGATTAGTCAATTGTTTGACTAGTCGACCTACAGAAAGTTATTCGACTAATTATTTTGCTTATCAGTTATTTCACAAATTCCAGCTCATTCCAAGTAGCTTTTTGTCCTACTCTTAACATTATAGTATTTTGAGGGTTTTGGACAACATTGGTACCTATGAAGTAAGCATTTTCAACAGTTTTCTGATGTTAAATGGACAAAATTAATTAATCAAGAAAATAATTGGCAGGACTATCGATAATTGCAGCCCTTTTTACAGGCTATTTTTAAACTCTGTCTTCAAACTTCAAATTTTTACTACATGAAGGCATAAAGTACCTGTTCAGTCATTTCTTCAAAGACTACGGTGGCCTAGTTTGAGGACCCAGAAGTAACCTAACAGAGTCACTCTGCTATATGTGTTCTGTTTGCATTCATGGTGATTTATTACTCTTGAACTATGCTGGGTGGATGCACAGGAGAACTGTCTGCGAGACAAGTCTCCTGTGACAACAGACCACTATGACTTTGCATCAGTGCTCCTATTATCATTTACATGGAGAAACTGGGTTCATGGCCAAACTGGAGCTTCTCAGTTAGTGTGGTTTGGTGTCTTTGAAACTCACTTGTGTAATCCTGCCCTAAATATACATCTAATTTTCCTTTTGACAGTGAGTGAATGCAAGGACATTATGTTCTCTGTGTCTGAATTTGAATCTGTCCTATGTGATAATTTAGGCAATTTAATTTGACGAGGAAATAAATTTTAAAAAACTCTTAACTTAAAGTAATGTGGATGTAAATGAGAAAGCATTAGCTTACTGGAAATCTTACTTTGTGTTTTCATCTTTCATTCAGAGGTTTAATGCCAAGGACTCTTGAAAGCCAAATCACGATGGAGAAGACACCAAGCTACTTTGTGACAAAAGAGACACCGCACCGGATCTCTGCCATGTCCCGAGATACCAAGCTCATTGTGGTTGTGCGTGACCCCGTCACTCGTGCAATATCAGACTACACTCAGACTTTATCCAAAACCCCTGACCTGCCGACCTTCCAGGAGCTGGCCTTTAGAAACCAGAGCCTGGGCATTGTGGACACATCGTGGAACGCCATTCGGATCGGCCTATATGTTCTGCACCTTGAAAACTGGCTCCGCTACTTCCCTCTGGCTCAGATCCACTTTGTGAGTGGAGAGCGTCTTATCACAGACCCAGCAGGGGAGTTGGCTCGGGTGCAAGACTTCCTTGGGTTAAAGCGCATTGTGACAGACAAACACTTCTATTTTAACCGCACCAAGGGCTTCCCTTGCCTTAAGAAGCCAGAGAGCAGCGGCTCGCCCCGCTGCCTGGGCAAGTCCAAGGGCAGAACTCATGTGCAGATAGACAGAGATGCTATTGAGCAACTGCGAGACTTCTATAGACCTTACAATGTCAAGTTTTATGAAATGGTGGGTCATGATTTCAAGTGGGAGTAGAGGTTTGAAAAATATTTTTAAATGGTACAAGAAAGATTTATGTATTCCACCAATATTCTTTCACAAATGGTTTGCCTACAGTAATATGTCATCGCTAAGGCGAATAGCTAACTATCAGCAGTCTCCAGACAATTTTCAAGTGAAACAGCAGAAGCAGTATTATTCTTTGAAGTGACACTAATGAACAGAGCAGAATCTAAGATGACATTGCTTTTGCACTTGTAATGATCAGTTACCAGCGAGCATAAGCATCCTGTTTGTTGCTAGATATAACCATCATTTCTGCTTCAGGATCACATCATTTCTGTTCCTGTTACTGTGTACCGTATTATTGCTGACTGTATTTCCCGTTTGCTGACTAGTTTATTAAAAAAGGGAAAATTCCAGGGAAAGGAATTAGTTCCTCTTAAAAACCTGCTTCACTAATCAAGGCAGGGCTTGAAAGCAAGACCTTGGAAAATGTCAGTGAAGTCTTCAGGGAGAGCAGAATTAAGCTGCAGCACTGTGGTGGTAAATCTGAAATGTAAAGCCATAACGCAAGTATGAACCACCTAATGCCGCATATTGTTGGTCTCACCAGTTTCTATACATGGTGAAAGGCTTTCTTTCTCATTCTTTCCAGCATGAATTGGATAAGTTAGTATTTGCTGTGACATGCAGCACTTCACTTTGTCTTCTGTGCATTATTTAAAAAATCCATGTTTATATTTTTGTTAAAAAAAAGTATTTATTCACTGCCTTAACCACAATGCTTGTCCATGAACTTCATTAAATGAAGCAGAAGCACAAATACGTTTATGAAATTAATAATTCTGTTTCATCTGAAACCTTGACATTGATAAATTGCATTTTGCAAAAATGCATGTTGAATTACTTTTTTTAAACTCTTTCTTTGCCTTTGCTTGATTCTTATAAAACCACACCAAATGGTCTTTTAACCTGAAAATATGTGACAGAAAATTTGAAAATGGTGGACTCTGTACTATACCTCCCTTTTCATATCTAGTTAGTAAAATTGTGGTTTCAACATATTAGACTACTTACAGTTTTTACCATCGTCACCCATGTTGCGAGTGAAAACTGAGGTATACTGCATCTGTAAGGTTTGTTGTGTGTCTCTGTGGTGGTAGGTGGATGAGTGGGTATAGGTGTAAGGAATTTCAATCACTTTTCAAAGACAAAGCAGGGAACACCTAGTCGTGGCAGGTTATCAAATAGATGCCGGGACTGCATGTCACATGATTGCAGTGAAAAGTTTGGATTTGCCTACATGGTATGAATACTAAAGCCAGACTGCCTGAGCTTAAGTCAGACACAATACTGTAAAATCAAAGGTAAAACTACTCTGTACTTCATAAGAGTATATATGATATATATTATTGAAGCAGTGTGTAAATGATTAGGCACTAAAATTACATATTATACAAGATCATATTACAGGTTACACTTACACTAAATTTACAGTCCAAATGAAAGTATAATTATTTAGTATTCAGGGTACCAATACCAATACCAATACAAAAGGGAAGAACGTTGCAGGTTTGGGAATAAGTGGGAATAACTGTGTTTAAGAGGGACTACTACACTGTATGTACTTTATTTTTTAATTACTGAGTACATATTTAATGATTACGGGTTATAGTAATATTACTGGGTAACAAAGCAGGAACGAGTTAATATTTAATTTAAATATTATTATTATATTTATTTTCAAATTAGGACATTCATGAAAAAAACTTTTAACTTTTAAATATTAAGTACATGTTAATTATGTATATGTTTTTAACAATGATAAATTACTGGGGAACAATAATGTAGCTTTGGGAAGAGCTGAATACACATGCTTTCGCTCGCATACAAACTCCAGTGGAGAGATATCCACCAATTTAAAAAAAGGCATACATTTAGTCTTTGTGACGGTACACATCAGGAGAAAGCATTGAATATACAATGTTAGTCTGGGGTTTGCAGGCTGTAAGATGAAGTGGATTCCCTTTCACCACTTGCAATTACAGTGTAGTTACAGATATGGGCTGTAATGAGCTTTCTGTACCTTGTACTTACTCAATATGTACAGGGTAATTAAAAATATTTACAGTGTAATTTAGTTGTAGGTCCCATCTTGATACAAATGTATTACCTCCTTATTCCCTGTACTCTCTTCCTTACACCAGGTAGTATTTCATTACTTAGTATACAAAATATTTAAACTGTAATTTTGGGGCGTGTCACAGACTTTACAGTTCCAAAATGAACACTGAGCTCACCACACACAACAGTAAGCGATATTTATATACATATAGATCCTACACAAGAGACAGTGCATATAGACTGTAAGGGTTCACTGAAGTAAAGAGGTATAGAACAGATCAGCGGAGACTTTATCTCTCATTATCACAAATAATGGATGTTGGAGCATTGAATTCTGAGAATCTGTTTAACTAATAATACTCAGAAATAATGATTTTGCCAGTGAAATATGGGACACATCTGTCCTTTCTGTTATCTACATACCTCAGAAGTCTAGTACTTTTATCTGTTTGAATACTACTTTTCACTGACGCTCTAGTGAAATGCACATGTAACACAGTATCCTTTGAAGTTTTCTCGGTGTTTGACATAGAAATACAGGAAGTCGAGCTCAAGAAGCCTAAAACCTGTTCTTATTTTTAATCTGCTGTATGTTCAGACTATTTTTCCTCATTCTTTCCCTTCTTTAGCAAATGGTCATTGTGCACTGCTAAGAGAAAAATCTTGAAAAGATGCTACACTGTCTGTTATCCTCTCTCAGCCCAGACATCTGCCTTTCTCTCTCTCTGTCTCTTTCTCTCTCTCTGTCTCTCTCCCTGTCCTACCATTCATTAAACTCATACGACCTCCAGGTGGGGGGCGTAGGCAGTGTCGCTGCACCACCTCTGATGCCCTTCTTGTCATCATGTTCGGCAGCAGCTCATTTCTCTGGCTTACTGAACACACACAGGTGAGCGTCTATCCGGTCGTCACAGTGAGCGGCAACTCTCTATATGGTACACATGGGTCCTAATTAGGCCTGAGGGCTGGAGAGGAGCAATCCCCTAGAACAAGCATCAGCCAGAGTCTGATTAGACTCTGCGAGTGAACGGCTCTCTAGAGATTGCTTGCAGGTCAAAACTCCCTCTCCCCTCATCTCTCTCACACACATATACACACACACACACACACACACACACACACACACATACACACGCTCATCTTTCTTTTCAAATATGAATTCCCTCTGGGACCAGCCCATGCAAATCCTGAAATCCTTTGCATTTCGGAGCACTATGATGTGACCTATTTGCACTCAAGCTAATGAGGTGCTTGTTAAGCTTAATGAGCATTTGTTAAAACTCATACTAAAACTCTTGTTGTTATAAGACATTATGACTAAAAGAACCATTTCAAACAAATCACTATACAAGGTTATATTTAATGTGTTGTTGTAATGAAAAGATTGTTCTTATATAATACAGTTCACATCATTTCATCCTTATGGAGCAGCCTGGTAATTATTTAATGCCCAAAATACCTGAAGGAGCTGAAGGCCTCAGTTAATGCTTTAGTGTTCTGTTCATGAGCACCAGTTATTGCTGAGACTAATAGGACTTCAAGGACAATAGCAGACACATATTGTTCTTTTTTATCTTTTAATTCTCCTTAGAGAGATTTAGAAAGAGGCTTAGACAGCTCTTGATAATCATTTTTAAAACATTGTGATCATATATTGATTAATGCTTAACGTAGCGATATTGTGATTTGGTTTTTTTAACTGAAAGGGTGAAGATCAAAACAGAAAAGACCTACTTTTCACCCAAAAATAACTAAATAAAATCAAGCGCAGTGGCTTAAAGACAGACTGAAAGTGTTTAAATGTCACAGTGATGTTCTTCATGCACATAATGTAGAATCCCTGCTGGTTAATGTAGCTTCAAACATTCACTCTTTTGGATTTTTAATGAGCTTGGAAGTAAGATAGAAGCAGTGGCAAATGATTTTTTCAAAAGGAATCCTTCCCTGAAACGTTAATATTGCAGTAATTTTTACATATAATTGTTAACAATGCTATAACAATTTTGAATGCATGCCTGCAGGAAAATTCATTTTACATGCATGCTCTATTGAAGCTGCACCAAATTAAAATAGTACACATTCACACAGCATTCCTTGTCCCTTGCTCACAATGTTCACATGAGATAGAATGAGGTTCCTTCGTATCCAAGTGAGACAGCAGCTGACACTGCAGAGGCAGAGATTCAGCAGTGTACCTCGTTCAGTCCTAGTGCTTCAGAATAGTTTAACTTCTGCAGCCGACAGGATGTCCCAGTGGTCGAAATCACCAGTGGCTTAGGAGCCAAATTAAAATGAAAAGCTGACAACTGTGGCACAGTCTGAAGTACGTAATGATACATGTTCTACAACTGTTTGCAGACCAATGTTGGAACTGCAGTCTGTAGGGATGACACTTAATAAGCGTGTGCATGTAATGTGCTCTATTAAGCTTATGGAGGAAACCAGGGAAGTGAAGAAGTGAAATGTAATTCTGAATGTCGGCCATGCTGCCTATAACAAAGCAGTGCCATTTTGTCGCCGATGGCCAGTCTAAAAGCCCCCCCAAATTTTTTTTTTTTCATTTGCATTCAGATCTTTGCATCTATGTTACAAATCAACAGCCACCTTCCCACCCCTTTTTAACTCGTCCCCTGCTGAGAGTGAGCGGAAGATGGCAGAGATGTGAGATTTCGATGGGAGTTTGCCCTTTCAAGATTTAGATCTGTGAAATTCTGCAAAGTCCTCCAAATTAGAAACAGTTGTTCAGTGCCATCTCCTTGTTGTAGTATCCGTTTGTCAGACGAGTGAGTCTGTTTTCTGTGGAGTAGCTAAAGTGAGGTAGAAAGCTGATTAGATTGGAGGAGCAGTCAGACCTCAGCATCTCTCTCACCAGGAGATGTGTTCTAATTAGAGTGCGTGCCTCATGTCTCACTGAGGAGAATAACAAGCCTCATCCCAAGGCTACCTCCAGATGAACCTCACATCCACAGCAAACCAAAACACATCTGATGTATCAGCAACCCCTGGACTCCAGACCACACCTGAGTCGACATGCAGTGCATTAGGATTTTGATGGGGGGTTTACATCACGTGGTAGCGCTCTCTAAGCAGGAAGCCTTGAAAAGCTGGAGCAACAATGAGGGAAACCTGGTAGAGCTGATTTTAGTGCCCAAATAATTCTTTCAGGTAGTGAAAACATCTTCAAACCCCAATCATTAGCAAAATGTAAATCAGCAGGGCATCCATTTTTAAGTTGCATTTTTACTACTGAGAAAGGTGTCATATGCTCAACATATGAAGCAATCTAAAAGGAGGGACCAAATGAACCTGGATGATGTTCTGAGAGCTGTAATTACAAGATTCAAGCAGGAAAATGATCCTGCATAAGCCTGATTTGGTGTGTGCTATTCTCAATTACACATCAGTCTTGGTTTGTTGTGCAAATGCCTTGACACATCTAAGAGTATGTCGTATGGGAAAGTGTTCGAGGAGGCGGACAAATTTGATTTGAAGGGAAGTTCTGTTTGAAATGCTTCTTAAAATGTGTCCCTTTTCCTCAAAACGATTTCTGATCATTTTACATTACCACATTAAGCTAATCACATGTAAGGCTTTTTTTGCTGGACACTAACATATAAATAATAACATAAGTACCATTTAGGTGTAGATTCATGAATCTACTAATATCTTGTTATAGTTTAACTTATTATCAAGGCAATATATGATTATCTTTAGTACTTTTCGAAATAGTCCTGCAGTGTTTTCCTTCCCTCAAATTTAAATTGTACTCCATCAGACAATAAATTCTTTGTTGTGTCCATAAACATCAATGGACACATGCACACACAACACACACTCATACAGTGGAGGATGGTCCAACCTCCCCGGGCGGCTTGTCTCAGATTGGATGTCAGATGCTGGAGACAGCTGCACTCATCACAGCTTTTATGAATATATTACCTTTTATGTTCATCCAAACACTGATTTATCTTCCTCAGAAAATCAAAGAGAACAGACATTCACTCACCAGTTCTCTGGAAAATTGGAACTTTCAGAAATTGTGCTGTGTGTAAGACAAATATCTGCAGCCAAAATAACTGCAAATCTCTCAGCCGGGCGGTAATTCAAACCTCATCTCTGACAGAATGTGTGTGCAGATGTTTGTGCCTGCATTTTTTTTATTTTTTTTTTAGTAGATATAGCTTATGAAATATCAAAGTGTGTTATTTGCCTCCATGAAACTCCACAACATCAAAGACTTTTCCCCTCTCCCACAAGAACCCAAGAATCCTCGAGTTTTTTTACCCGTGCAGCCTACCCTGTCTTCCGTCTCAACATTGCTCAAAAGGCAAAAGCCTCTAATGATACAAGATACTAGATGGAGAGACTGCTGCCAACAAAATGGGGAGAAAAAAAACATTTTGGGTGATGATTGACATCCCTGCATCTTTTTATTATTCCTGTGATGTTCGTCCAGACACACTGATGCCAGAAACTGTGGCCTCACACTTTGGCTGATGCAGCAATCTGGTGATATGCGTCTCTCTGCCTGCCAACCACCTGGCTGGAAGAAGCATAATCAACCTCTCAGTCAATCACTCCTCGCACAGCCAATGGTGTAGGATGAGTGTCAGAGGAAGCGAGGCAGAAATGCGCTGGCTGTATGTCCAACTTTGACACTTCACACCTTGCTCTCTAGCATCCTGATGAGTCCTCAGTGTTGGCAAGGCCTTGGGATTCCAGCTACACACTTCTGTGCATTATAGAGAAGAAATAAATGTGCAATGTGTGGGAGGAATGTAGCTGCTAGCTGGGTCTCAGACATTTTACAGGTTAAGGTATATCCTCTGCCATCTTAAGCAGAAACAGCACTTAGTTCCCTAAAATGTCAGTGAATGTATTAATCAAAGCAGGAAAATTACACTTAAGTTAAAACCTTATACAATTAAAGCTGCATATTGGTACTAGGCTTAGTGGAGGATGCTTGAGATTATATCCTGTATGATGGTTCTGCTGCATCAAAAAGGCTTTTGTAATCCCAAATGACTCCTTAAAGGTACTATGAGGATGAATCCTGACAATTCATGGTTATTGCCTTTGCTACAAGCACAATCTCGTTGGGTGTTAAAGTTGTTTTCAAGGCACCACTCGCTGCTCGGGGGTTATGTAATTCAGCCGTGGTTGTCCCACATGACACGTCATGTATATTGCATTGCCTAAAAAGCAGTTCTCTCTCCAAATGCACTCAAGGCTTGCTAGATTTTTCATCTCCAATTAAAAGGGAACTAAAGTACTGCATCGCTGGACTCAAGAGAAGAGAAATAATTGACATGCTCATTCCTGAAACAAGTGAATAATTGAATTTGTTTTTCATTCGGTGGAAAAAAAGAGGTTCACATTGAGAATACATTAAGTTATGTGTAGGTTGTTATTTGGTGTGATTCTAAAATTCTCTATTGACGATTAATTGAATAAGGGTTTGTTGGAAATATTAAGAGTTCACAGGAGTTTTCTCCAACTCTGAGAATGACAATAAATAAATAAATGAATGATGATAATAATAATGATAAAACCAAAAGAACCCAAAGGAAGCTATTTATGATAGGTGCCATTTTTTTCCTGTTTCATTTCAGTTTCTCGATGCAAGGTGTTGGTTGCTATTTTAAGGCATATAAGTGGGCAGGGAGGCACATACCATACACTCTAAGATAACTAGAAATAGCAGTCATCAACTGAACTAGAACTGCTGAGGAAGACAAACAAACAAACAAATAAATAAAAATAATGATTTCAGGATGCTCTAATGACTTGCTGCTTTCTGAAACATCAACTCAAGTGGTCTTTAAATGAATGATTCTTAGCAGTGTAGAATCTATCAATAAAACTAATAAAAAATATTATGATGGAATATCACTGCATCCAATGCAAATACATGTTTTTTCAGTGCTGAAACAGTATGAATTCACAGTAATTTAAAGCCTATCTAAGTTCTGTTTTAATACTTACATATATACTTTCTGAATGTGCTATTTATTCTCTCGTCGATTTTCTTTAAGATATCAGCATCATCTCAAGGTATTGTTAGATTCTTTTGCATTTGTTCTAAGAAAATAAAATCATTATTAAATTACTTTAAAGCCATTTTTGCTGTTAAAGGCACTTGAGAATGCTCTCTTATCTATAAATACCAACATATCTGATATGAAGGGTATTCAACCCAGCTGCTGCCAGCTGCTTTTTAAAGTTTTCCACTTACCTGCAACCACCTTTTTTGTGTGTCTTCTGGCAAGCTTTTAAATGTCCTAGACTCCTTTGGGTTTTCTGTCTGTGGTGGTCATGGATGTCATGAAGGCGTGTTAACAGGAAACAAACAGTAAAATATCACTATGTAAAAATACAGTTAAGTGGCTGTGTTGCATATACTGCTACCAACATTTATCATATAGGTAGTCATTCAACTGCATGATAATTTTTGGCTCCAGATTAGTGTGCTTATTGCATCAAAGTATATTTTATATAGACTACTGCCATAGCAACATTATGTATTACATAATACAGTATGTTATGTATTTTAATATAAAATAATGTCATACATCACCACAAACATTGACCTAAAAAATTATACTACAGGGTTAAAGGAACAGTTTATAGCATAATTATAAGGTTTGCAATGTTGCACTGTTATTGAATTGGATTATATTGTACAAGTGTTATATTATAGTGGTGTTTATGATATTGTATGGCAACTTTACTAAGCTAACCACGAAAATCCTGCTCATCATCTCCTTCTATCCAGAGACAGAGTGGGACTCAAAATGGAGACTTAGCTGCAGCACCTAGAATTGAATTTGGCCACAAGAGATACCAAGATTGGATTGATCAATAAAATTAGATTGCCTTTCTACAATGCATCAAGCACATTAATGTAGCAAAAGCAAAACGTGTAAACTAATTCAGCATGCTGGATGCATTACGTTCAGCAGTCAAGAAGGGTAATGTCACGGTTTTGTGTGTTAAATCCAGATAAAAGTTGCTGAATTCTCCACTGAGGTCTTGCTAATGATGTTCTCTTGGAACTGATACAATTGGCAAATGATTATTGATTTCAGTGCTAGAGGAGGGTTGGCTCCTTTACAGAATGATCTTGCGCCGGGCTGCAGTCTGTGAGTTTTTTAATTACATTCATACATGCATATTAATTGAACAGCCTCACGTTTTTTCTTTAGAACACAAGACAAAATGTTCATTTCTGACAACTCAGTATTTCTGCTGCATGTGAAGAGAAGCATGTTGCAGCTCTGTCACACCAAAGGCAATTTTTAAAATTTCATCACTTCTCAGACTGCACGAGAGGTGAGAAGTGAGCGGGTGAAAATGTAATTCCCCAAACTGATGACTGTTATACAAAATTACAAGAATAGAAAGACAAATAGGCAGCATTAACTCTTAATATGCCCAGCCTTGGGCCAAACTAATAAAACCACAATTGAATCAGCTCTAAATAAATGATGGTGCTGTAGTTTAATAACACATCATCTCCTTCACTGGCAGCATTGGATTTGACGGTACTATATATCTTAATAATCCCACAAGTTCAAACTGAAGGGCATTTCTCAGGGACAAATTCACATTGAGTGTTGCTTTATTTTTCTAACTCATTATTTTTGTGTCTGGTGAAACTTTTCGGTAAACACTGAGCTCCACCAAGTGGAGAAAACGAGAAATGTAAAAAAGAAATGGCCTGAAATGTATCTGTAGAAAAACTGTACATGTAAATGAAAATCACTCAAAGCAGCATGTCAACAACATGTCAACTTAATGACATAATTTTATTTTGTTTTTGTTTGTCTTGCATTGCTAAATCAATGCCAACACACACTGTAACCCCCCAAGAAAGATCAACACAGTACATGTTAAAAATTACATTTTATCACAGAATATAAATGGAAAAATAAAAATGTTTGATCATTCTCATGCATTTGTGAAAATAACTCACTCCACGCAGCATTTTGTTATATGAATACATCCGTTTCATTTTGTCAACACTCAAAAGTTTCCCTTAATGTTGATGTGACATACATTTTGTCAGTTTATATACTGCATGTGTTGGATGGAATAGCACAGTATCAACACACTGTAGCCACCAGGCACTAAAGATAATCATTTCTTCTCTACTGCACCATATGAAGTAACTTGTGGTCCGGCTGCTTGGGTTACTGATGATCACTCATCCTTTACTGTGACACTGACATTCAATAAATCTCTAATTCTGATGTATATTATTACAACCATTATTACATTTGTAACTGGTGGGACTTCTGTTACAAAATGAGTTAATGATGCCTTCCAGGGCAATTTCACAGTGAAATCTGTCTTGTCAAGACACCAGTATTGTTGTAGTAGGTTCTTTGAGACAGACTTGATCATACAAGAATTGAACAAAAAAACAATGTCAAATCACGCATCATTACTTTTTTTGGATCTTCAGACAAAAGCAGAAGACGGAGTGGTTATAAAGGATAAGTTAAACTGTATATATTTAGAACCAGACAACAAGCCTGCCATTAGTTCTTGTATAAAACACAACTGTCTTCGGACCAGTGTCATTTTAATTTCTCAGCTCTCAAGATCTGGTAAAACTCTCAAACTACTACAGATGATAAAAGAAAGTTATACCCCGACTTCTAAACCGCAGCAATGTTTTCTAGCCAAAGCCATATAAAAAAGTCTTCTGTTAAAGGTTGTAAAGGTTTGAAATTGTGAGAAAAACATGAGACAAATGAATGCAATGCAGAAAACATTAATTTGCAAATTAGTTGATTTACTTTGAGGGAGTGAATGAGCAATACTTATCATTCATACAAAATGTATATTACTTTGAAGAAATGTGCAAACAAAGCTTTAATAAAGGATGCCTTAACATGCTCTCTGATGCTGGCATTTGGAAAAATATACAGTTAGAAATATATACACATCCAAGAGTAGCACGTCTACATACTCAGTGTGGGCATTAGCAAGAATCTGCTTGCATAGTTAAGTGCATGCATAAGCAATTTTTCATGCAACAACTGTCATATACTTCATGAGTGGTGATCTCTTTTCTCAATCTATGTCGGTGTGTTCAGTCTTGATCTACTCTGTAATGCAAGCTAAAAATGTGCACAAGCTGTGATGTCACATGTGAAGGCAGAAGATGGGCTGACTCAAACGTACCATAATGCTCTATGTACATGTATGGTGTTTCAACGAAGGCATCCCAGCTGTCTGTTGAACATGTTGTCTGTGTGCGTAGTGGCTTTTTACATTAACCCTGTGTTCATCTGAGAGGAATGTTTGGAGATGTCTGGCAGTCTGAAGAGGCAGATCCCCATGAGGAACATGGGCACCCGCGGTTAAGTGTCGCCATCAGCAGCTGGAGGGCAGAGGTGGTGACGGGTGGGGGTGGGTGGGGTTGTCTGAGGGGTAACAGGTTATTACAGGTAAATAAAACACAAACATTTAAGAACCATCACAAACCAAAGTCTCCAGACATTTAACACCAACAACACATGCTTCATTCCTGCACTTCTCCTCGGCCTCTCGATGACAGTCTTGATTTTGGCTGCACAAAAATACTTCTTAAAGGCTGTTGCACAATGACTACACCAAGGAGCATAATGTAAACAGCAGTTCAGGTTAAATAGGCTTAAATTGTGTTTTACTTGAAATGGCATTTTCAGTGCTTAATAAATATTAAAATTGAATTATAAATTTACCAACACCTGCAATTATACAATTTAGATTAAATACTTAACTTTGATTATCTGAGGCACTGATGTTTGTTGTTGACATATGGCTCTCAATATTGAAGGAGAGCTGTACATAAAGATTTTTGGAAATAATCCAGTGTTTCACTGCATCAGCATGTTAAAAATTGCCAGTAAACTTCCTTTGGCGACTGAGTAGTCCATGTTTGATGTATCTCAAAAGTTCCTTTCCACCATTATATCTGCTTTCCATCTTGTGCAAAGTCACTTTTATTTTCACCTCCTACTGAGATGTACTTCTCTCAACTATGCTACAGACAGAACAAGGCAATAATTTCAATACATGTGCAGTCCATGCTTATTTACAATACATTATAATATTCCTCAAAATCAATGCAATCCATACAAAGTGCTTTGTTAAAATCCATTCCTAAATAACTATTTAACAACATGGACAGGAATTGTCCAGTATGGCAGCTGGTATTCAGTAACCACTGAAAAGCTACAGGTGCTTTAAAGATGTTGTTAGACACTCAGTCTAGTTAGATGGATAAAACACCTCAGAGCTGCACTAGAGAGATTGTTATCAGGCCTTTAAAATAATGTTACTTGGCCCTCTGGCTAGTTTGTGTAGAGTTGATGGGGATCTTCCTCGACTGCATTGTCTTTTTAGCAGGCTCTTTCTTTGAAGGGTCTTTTGCATTGGCAGAGGACTGGGTGGTTGTTTCTGGCCCAGAAAGCTTGGACTTTGTGGAGGGCAGCAGTGAATGCTTAGCTGCAGCGGACGCCTTAGAGGACTCCTTGTCTTTGGCTGTGGTCACGTTAGTCTGGGCCTCTGAGGCCACATTCTGGGATTTCTTGCCCGCTCCGTGCGGGATTCCTTCTTTAGCTGCATCCCCACCACCATCCTCTGGACTTCCTTTAGCTTCTCCCACCCCTGCTTTCCCACCATTAACTGATTTACGGGTCTCTTTTGGCTTCAGAGCAGTTTTGAAGAAAGATAAACCTTTCTCCTCTGTCTTACTGTTCCTTTGAGGTCCCCTTGGTGGTGTGGCTGCACTTGTAGAGGAAACACCTACACTCGAAGATCGGAGGCTAGTTATGGAGGAGCTACTGCTTGAGCTTCGGCCCGCAGCCTTATTCTCCGCAGGACGGCCCGGCCTGGCCTCCGCTCTACTAGCAGCACTCGACCTGGAGGGAGGACCTCCAGGATTAACCTTCCTCTCTGGGACCACATTGGTCCGTGAGGATTCACGGCTAGTGCTCCTGTCTGCTGCTCTAGTCCTTCCTGAGGCTGAGCTTTTCTCGCCTGCCCCTCTTGGTGATGTCCTCCTCTGAGGGTGTGAGCTTTGTAATCCTGGAGAACCACTCTTTCTCTGCTGGGCAGAGTCAGGATGTAATACCTCTGGGGGTTGGGATGACCCCTTCTTGGAGGGGGTTGCTGTTCTCAAGGAACCGGCCTTGCTAGTTTTAGGTGGTCCATCGCTTTTGTCCTTGGGGTTTGACGCTGACGCTGTCGCTGACGCTGGCGCTGCACTCTTGGTCTGTGTTCGAGACGGTAACTTGTCCAAGGCTGGGGATGCAGGAGACAGAGAGCTGGATGACGTTGAGGAGGTGGCAGCACGCTTCTTGGGACTCCTTTCACTCTCTAACCCGGTCTTTGCTGAGGTCCTTTTAATACCAGCGCCATCTGCAGACCCATTCCTCTCCCGTTTTGGCTCCTTTGCGGCCGCCCCATGTCGAGGACTGACCGGCTCAGCACCAGTGACTACATTGTTGTTATCCCCTGCTTGGATGGAGCTTCTCTGCTCTGCCTGTGCCACGGCCTTGGAGTGAACCTGCTCTATCAGCCTCTTACTGCCTGGATTACTCTCCAAAACTGCGAGGGCCGACTTGACCCCTGACAATTTTTCTGGCTTAGGTGAACCAGGGAAACAGGAGGTTGACAGCTTGCTATCAACTACCTCTCCTATCCTCTCCAGTGTCGGGGAGGAGGAGTGGGATTCCAGGGAGAAGCGCGAGGGAGAGTTGGAACGAAGTTGGAGCTTAGCAGAGTGGGACCAGGATGGTTTAGTACCATTCTCGCTGAGCACCAGCGGGCTGGCAATGGAAGATCTTGAGGAGAAAGTTTGTCTTTGCATGCCCCTTACTGCTGGCCGGCTCGATAGGCCTGCACGGTAGAAAAATACACCTCAATATATGATTCTTTAAGAAACTATTCATATTTGTCACCTTGGAAGCATTGAAAAAAAAGCCAAGAATATGTGCTTTTGGATGAGTCTCTCACCATCATCCTCGCTCCGTTCACCAGCAAACTCAGCCGACTCAGAGAGGGAGGCCAATGAGGTACGTCTGGAGGAACCAGATGAGGCTTGGCTAGGTGGACGGCTACCCATCAGCCGACTAATCCAGTGCTCACACAAAGAGGAACTGGTGGATCCTAAAGTCCCAAAAAGACAGTGGCTGAACACACATAATATATTCTACACAGAACATTTAAACATGTACATGAGAGACTGTACGAGCTAATATCAATAAAGATTACCTCCCACAGAACTGTTGGCAGACCAGGATGGAATAGTGGCACGTCTTTGATAGAACAAGATATAACCAGTCGGCTTGCAGACCTCATCTTCAGATATGGGATGAACATCGCTATCATCAAAGCAATACCACTGTCCATCAATGGAGTTCTTACAGTGAGCTACAAGACACAACGCAATGAAATATTATAAAGAATAATATTAAAGAGCTTTTATGAAAGTAAAAATCTGTTAATACAACAACCCCATTGGTTATTGGCTGTTGGTGCTGGTCTGTTACCTGTGTAATGTCCTCCCTGCATGGTCCCATGATGGTTACACACTGCATACAGGTCATAAAGGTAGTCTTCTGGGTCACGGCCCATCCCATAAGGCCGTCTCCATGGTGACCAGTGGGAGGGGAGACTCCAGCTGCTCTGGCTCCTTTTCACCATATGAGGCGCCATGTCCATGCCTGTGAGCGGGAACTTCACCATGTTCTGCATCTTCATTCGTCGATCCCCATCCTGAGGTTGAAACACATTTAAATCTCTCTCTTTCTCCGTCACACATATTTTTTTTTATTTTTAGAAATCTGAGCATTTCGGCACCTTCATTTCCAAGACTATCGGTACCTGTCTGAAACGTTTCAGGTGAAGTATGAGGATGTCCGGCAGGGTCCACAGACTGAGCTTGATGCTGCCCTGCTGAAGCTGCTTACAGTGTGGACATCGCCATGCATCATCAGGAGCAAGCTGATATTGATGTGGGAAAAAAATCAGTTATTAAAGAGTAACTCAACTCCAGATCACCTTCTACTGTTTGTCTTTTACCTGTTAACATGTCTGTGTGACTTTTGTGTAGTAAAGGCACAAATTGATGACATTTTTATTACAGACATAGAAATGTGTAATTGTACTACCATCTAGTGTTTGTAATTTTCACTTTATCTGCCAACACCAACCCTACCCCATGTCTGGTATCTTGGCATCACTTCTGAGATCAAATGGATAGCAATTGAATCCAACAAATTCATCCCCGACAGCTAACCCTACCTCACTCAAACCAGCATTTTTTTTTTAAGCTGTATAAGGCAGAGACAGTCAACTGTTACTGAATAATAGCATGGAGCAAGAAATAAAAAACAATTAACAAAACCATTTTTATTCCAAATGTGTATCCGGTCTTAGTGATATTCTCCTAACTACTGCAGCCTACATTATATCATGTCTCAGCCTACCTGTTCCTCTTTGGTGTAGAGTTGAAAGCACTGTGCAAGTGAGCAGGTCTGAGGCTGCAGGTGCTGCTCCTTTGCTTGACGCACACTTTCAGCATCTGGTATGTATTCATCCTCCGTTCTTTTGAACAGACTGCGGGCAGAACATGAGGAAGTCACAGAGGGATCACCCAGAACTTCAAAAGACCTTTACATCACATCATCACACATCTGCCCTGAGCTTTATAAAGTGTGTGCGATTGGAGCTTCAGCGTGTGCCAGATCTCACTTACTAGTCTTTCGTCTCTTTGTCCCATTCAACAACAATTTTGACGTGAGGTGGCCCTCCAGGACCGCAAGACTTGAATGCCCTGTTGAAAGTTAGATTAAGAGAATCCCACATTATATTTTTTATATTATTTATTTAGCAGATAGTCATATGCAGAATTTTAAGAGGGTATAATAGAATAAGTTTAAGTTTTCTTTCTGCCAAACCAAACTATGCTGAGAGAAACTTTACCAAATAATATCGTTTATTTTCTGTTGTTTTTTTCATACGGCAGTAAAGAAGCACATTTGTTCTCATTCTCCTCATTTTTAAAAAATCCATGCAACAACCACAGAGGTCAACACCTTCTTAGAAGAAAATCCATAAAACCAGACAAGCTATTATACATCTCAGGAGATATTTTCAATACCACTGAAGAGTCAGCCTACATACTGTAGCTCTTCAATCAACTTCAAGTGGATTGAAAACACTGCAGGGTTTATATAATGACAATTCAAGTAAGTGAGGTAACACTCCCCCCTGGTGGTGATAAGTGACATTACCTCTCCACAGAGGGATGGCAGAGCGGCTGCTCCTCCTGAGGCAAGAGATATGTGATCCCAACCACTCCTACCACACGCAAAGTGAAGGGCCCTACCTACACACCATCCAGGATAAGACAGTAAGAACATGTAAACATCATTTGAAAATGATTAAAACCAAGGTGTTGATGTGTTAATATGTTTGTACCTGCACAAGGACTCCAGGGCGCAAAAGATGCCGCATCTTCTCCAAGATCTCTTTCTGAAGCACATCCCATGTCACTGTACGCTCCAAATACAGGATGAATGGATTACCAAACCTGCAGGGATTACAAAAACAAAACAGTTCAACCTGCATCACATTTAATTAATTATTTGGTAAACTGAATTATACGTTTACAAGTGTTGTTTAATACCTGCGTCCTTGCTGTCCAGCGCAGGCTCTGTTACACACCAATAGCACAATCTTCTCAGCCTGCTCGCTGTTCTTATTGGGACTCTGAGGTGGAGTTGTAGGCTCTTGCATTTGTGTGGATATCCTACTATTATCTGTGCCGTACTTTAGGTTGTTCTGGTTGAGATTTGCATGTGGGCTCCCTGTAATAAACACACAAAAGTTACAAATGTGAAATCTTAAGTAAACAAAAACGACACGCTCGGCTGCTTCAAAAATAATTCCAACATGCTGGGTAGGGTGCATACGTAGCAGCTCCCTGAATAAAGCACTTCTCCAATATTAGTCCATTTCTAATCTAATCATGACTCCTACTGACATAATAAGACAAAGGGCTAAACTAATTTCTGGGGGAATAAACAGGATGTCGTACCGCCTCGCTTGGAGCGGATCTGCTCTGGTCTGAATAGCTCAGGTGTCTCAAAGGCAAAAATGGAGTCACTCTCCTGGATGATCTCAAGGTCATCGTCGTCGTCGCAGAAGGAGCGATGAAAGCCGTCATAGTACATCTCAGTGAGGACGATCTGAACAAAAGCAGACAGCGGTTTGCATGCGGATTCATTCATTTGTTGAAAAGGAGTAAAACATAACGGAGGTTCCAAATATCAAAAGAGGTTTTATATTCTGAAACACAGTCTATACATATAGACATTTATAAAGCACTGATGATAAAATGCTGTACAAATCAACAGAGATAATCCTTGTCTCCCACTATGAGATCAAACAAAAACTTAACCACCAAATTCTCTCATGGCTCACTGAAATCACTCCTTCTCCACTATCGTTAATCCTCTTACTTTGATACATTAATGGCCTTAAAAAGGGAAGTTTCTAATAAGACAGCACCTGTTGGGCAGGGATTTTGGTCTCTTGGGCCACAGCTTGTCTCAGCCTGGACACGGTGCCAGACAGGGGCACCGCCACCCCGACTCTCATACAGTGGGAGCACTTTCCTTGGTACACCACTGTCACATACAAGGGCCTGCAACACAGAAAGACTGAAGTTAATTGGCTGTTTCATAACCATGGCTGGACTGATGTTTCAAAGATAGACAGCATCTTCTAATTTTAGCTTTCTCCTGTCAGATCTTTCATGATGTTTGTTTGGGCCGGGTTTGACACTCTTTTTAATGCCTTGTTCAGACTGGATCTAGTCTCGTTGCATTTTTGGATACAGGGACTTCTTTTGCCTGACAGATATTGTCTTACTGATAAACTAGATACAGAGTCACCTTACCGTGTGTGAGGTACCGGGATTGGCAGTGAGATGCAGAGGAAAGGATCAAAGGTGTTGCTCTGTTTCTGGCAGTGAGGGCAAGTCAGGGAGGACCTACACAGCGACATGATGAGAATAATAAAGTAGTTCAATTAGCATAAATTTAGCACAAATCCTGGAAACAGCTAGTCTGGCTCTGATCAAAGGTACTTAATCTTTCTCCTATCAACTTGTATTAGGCGGAGTTAGGCTCACTGATTAACATATTTAATTTGTTTAATCAGTACAAAATCCAGTGTGTAACAAGTGTAAAAATGACATATTGTAGTTACAGGAGTTATGTGCCAAACTAATTCCCCCTGAAATCCACAGTGTGTCATATTTAGACCTTGGTTTTTGTACAAATTAAACAAACAGTATATAACACGTTAATGGACTTTAAATGTCCTGGAAGGTGGATGTTAGTTTTGGACAAACCCAGGCTAGCTGTTTCACTTTGTTCCAATTTCCATCATTAGCTATGCTAATGAATTGCTGGCTGTAGCTTCATATTTTACCACAGAGACACTGTACAGTCTCAATCTGCTCATCTAACTATCGGCAAGACAGCCAAAATGTCAAACTATACCTTTAATTTTAATTTTAATGAATTGGTGGAATACATAAATGAACAGGGTTAGGTCAGGGTTAAATGTCACATTATTGTTGCATAATTTTGAACATAAGTGTTAGTATATAATGAAAAAAGTATAAGAGTTAGACAAAATAACATACAGACTTGATGAAACTGAAGTTTAAACTTGTGATCACTGTTTCCTTTTGTAAATGTAATCGCTTTGGTCACTTGTTGTTATCAAGTGATTGAAGTTCTGTTGTGCAAGTTCTGTTCTCTCTCACAGGATATGGTAAAAAGCTCTGGAAAAGGCTCATGAGTGAACCTTGAGTTGAGAGTATTTCATCGCAAAGTTGTGTGTTAGGTGTTTGGGCATCAGATTCTCCCTCGACAAAGAAGGAAGTACTTACTGTTCCTAATTGATTTTAGATATTTCATATTAACGTCAGCTAATAGTACATCGATATTTACATTTGGTATAAACAGATTATATACCAGCAACTGAATATTTCACCTGTATTGTGCCTGAAACAACTCCTGTACAAAAGATCCAGGTGCTGGTAGTGGAGATCCTTCAGGGGCATTTTCTTCTTCTACTGGAGGCTGCAAAAACAAGATAGACACTGAACATTTATAATATATTGCATGTTGAATTACAGCAGTAGTCACCAGGATTACAGTTTTAGTGTCGTAAAATTCAGTTTATCACAATATTGGGCGACAGTTATCAGTTGAGCAAGGGGCAACATTGAGTCAAAACACAAAAGCAATGTTCAGAAATTCACATTATACTGGTCTATATCTGTATGTAAAGTAATCTAAACTGCAATTGTAACATCTAACTGTGTTCTAAGTTGCTGTTTACCTTCCTGGGGGGTCTGATGTCAGGGTGGACGATATGGTTGAGGTCTTCATGAACTCTATCCAGCAACCAGAGGAGGAATTCCTGGGCGTCGTGCTGGGAGTTACCCTTGAACTGGAGGGCACTCTTCGACACTATATTCTGCAGCAGACAACAGCAGGACAAACAAATTATGGTTTAAGGGGACTGCTCTTAAAACAGCAATGATTTTACAATGCAATGAATACCATTTCTTTTTTTTTTACATCATTGCCTCATCATAAATGATTCAGTACATCTGACCAGGGTGATGATCAGCACAGTCCTAAAGGTCAGCAGCGGTGTGGGTGATGGTGAGATGCAGGCCAGGAGAAGCTTTTTAAAACCAGGACACAGGCTGAAAATCGACAGCTTAACCTCACCGACAATTAGCTATTGGAGATGACAACAGTGTACTCGACAGAGCCACCCAGGCTGGCAGCTATAAAGTCACCTCTACTGGCTATCAAATGTCACGCAAGGTCAAAGATATGAGGGCAGTGTGCACTGCATGCCATCCCAGCCTGTCCCATGGGACTGTCTTCCTCATTTTGAAGGTATTACCAAGCCAACGTCAGCATTTTGTACTTAGAGCTAGCCTTCCTTCTGCGGCCACAGAGGTTGTCTTTAGGTAAAGGTCTGTTGATGAATGCAGATCTCAAGCTAGCCTCAATAGACTCCTCTGATTATGAGACAGTTTAAAGAAAAAACAATTTAGAGATTTAGGCTGTGAGTGAAATGCAGAGTAATGATGCGTTGTTTTGAATATCTGAATCTCTTATAAATAGCGCACACAAGAATTGTCATGTTCTTCTCAGAGTTCTGGTGAATAAAGGAAAGTGTCCTGATGCTTTGTGTAAAAGTAATCAGTGTAAGTGACAAAATATTGATGATGCACCAGATAAATGCAACGGAAAAGACATTTAGTGTCTATGAACTCAGTTGTAAGTAATCTAATGGAGAGTACGTATTGTACTGGAAGAACGGGGTCATCTAAGAAATCTTTACCATTTTAAACTATTGTGGCAAAATAAATGTTTAGTCTTTCACAACAGCTACCATGTTGTTAGATTTTTTTCTGGGGATTGATTAGCAGTGTATTAAAATAAACACAATGTATTTAATATTGTAAGCATTCATTAAAATTGAACTGTTTTAAAGTTAATACATTTTGGTGTTTAAAACATAAAACAAATATGTTTTGGCTCAACAACCAGGGTAGCGGTACACTTTCACATAAAGGAAATACATCATTACCACAATGAAACCTCCTGACAGAGAAAAAATGACTGTTGAATGACTGTTTAGTGTGGATCTTTTGAGATATTAGAAGAAGATGATGAAGAAGTTGCTGATTTAACTTTATGACCTCCCAAATATATAAGGAATTATGCAGTACGCTTAAAAAGCATGGTTCCTATTCCTTTAAAATGATTCCCTTTAAATGTGTGATCACATATTTATTTTATAAAGTAGTATTGCCAATACAAAGCAGGGTAATTAATAAAAAAAACTATTGCTTGAAGTTTATTATATAATATCCCTACAAAAGACCTTCATAATCTATAAAGTCTAACTCTAATAATTTTATTAACCACTGATTTCATCACTTTGTTTACAGAATACCGCCATTTGTTGGATTTGTTTTACCATCAGTCACATTGTCAAATTATGTATCACTTTTCACAAATGGTGAATGTCTCTCATAGCCATTTACATGTGTAGATCGTGCTCTTGGGCAGTTTGAATGGTGTGCAACAACATAATCCTCAAACCAAATGCTTCTGAGAGTAAAATGGACTCTGAGACACAGTGGATAATTCCCCTGTGTTATTATTACGGATGTCTTCCTAATGATCTCTAAGTGCTCTCAGTTTAGGCTCAGATTGTGGTCTGAGGCAAGAGGCACAAAACCATCACATGTGCACGCTGAGCTGTAATGCACACCAACAACAAAAATTGCATGTTTTGCTAAAGTTCAGTTAGCTGACTGTAAGGTTGGAGAGTATAATCAGATTTTTGCGAACGCTTTCAAGATACAGTTTGAGTACTTTCCGTCCATCTAAAAAGTTTATTTTATTTGATTGTTTTTAGATATTAGAATAGAAAGTCACATTACTTTATGTCCTCCTAAGAGAATGATGCATTAAAAAGCAACGGTTTGGGATGGTACTTACCAAAATAATTTACATTAGCATTAGAAAAAGTGTTAAAAAAAGACAACGATTCCTTATCAAAGTGCCTGATAGTCTGAGTTTGCACTTCATTTTCCTACTGAGTTAAATATGTTCAAGGCCTCTCACTCTGAAGAGAATAATCTATATCCAATCAGACAGTTTGTACTCTGGCTGGCAACCAAAGTAGGAAAAAATTGGACAGAAATAGTAACACTGTCAAGAATAAGCAATGGGTTGTATGGCCCCTGTTCAATTTAGTCCCTCCCTATTATGTATTTTGAGCTTTTGAAAGAAGAAAATAGATTATCAGACAGAAAAAAGACAGAAAATAAAGTATCCCTGTTGTGAAAGAACCAACCTTTGAGATTGTGACAGGCAAACTTTTCAGTGCTCAGATGCAGGTTTGTGGGGTGAAACCATGAAAGAGCAGACGAGGTGTGGGACAGACAACAAAGCAAAACACAGGAGTTTTATTACAGCTCAGATCTACGACTCAGCTGTCCAGCTAAAACAACCTTTTGAAGGAAGGAGCGTTAGTCTACAAACACTGACTTTGACTGTTTCACTATGATTTATTTTTCTATAAAAAGGCTGATTGTAAGCACAGATATTACATAAACTGTGAGCCGTGCTGAATCTGACTTGTGACCAAAGACAGAACGACTATCTTGTTTTTTCATATATAGAATATAAAATTAAATAATCACGTTTGCATTAAGGAACAGACTAAACTCAAACAGTTATTCAAGGCCAGTACATGATCACTATATCTGACCCTGTCTGATGAATGAAGGAATTTCATGATATTAGAAATATATTTTTAGACCGACCACTGGGACGAAAGCATCTGCATTTGGAGCGTTTATAGATGTCAGTGCTGACAGAACACAGAAAGAAACAACTGTACAATCACTGAGGTGCTAATGGTCCCACTTTTCATTATCCTTAATGGCAGTATACAAAAGGCATAAACTGAGCCCCAGTTTAGGTTCAGGTGCTGCTGGTTATCCAATAAGGCCATCTGTAACAACCCCCCTGACTTTACTCTCCTTTTAAGAATTAGACTTAAGATGCTCACATGGACCATTTGAATATGGGGCTCCTAAAGGCAAACAGCAAAAATCAATATATTCACTCCTGATATTTCAGTTTGTTACAAGTGTGAGTATTAAGTAGATCAGGGGCACTGCAGGTATCTGGAAACTTTATTCTAGTACATGGAACTAATTTAGGTCAGTGTGCACTAAAAAGCAAAACCCCCATCTTTCTGCTAGTTGTTGTAAGATGAATCACACTTTTGAAACCAGTTTTATAAAAAAAAAAGATGTAGAGTTAGGACCCCTGCACGGTGCACAGCCTACCTTGAAGTCTCTGCTGTGCTGGGGCGTGTACTCGAAGGTCCACAGAGCCCGAACCAGACCGGACAGCTGCTCGGTCACTTCCCCCGCCTCCTGCTGCTGGCTCCCCTTCTTCTGCACCACCAGCACCCCGTTGGACTTGGCCTTGTCGTTGCCGCCGGTCGTCTCACCCCCTTTGAACTGCTCCAAAGCCAGGTACTCGGCAAAGAGCTCGGTGTTGCTCAGGCACTGCAAGATAGCGTTCATGAAGCAGGTGTTCCCGTGGTTCTTGAGTCCGGCGACACCCGGCACCTTGTCCCCGAAAGGGAACCCCCCGCAGTCGCTGTCGTCGGACGGGAGTGACCCCCCGGTGGTGGTCGGGACTGAAGTTGCATCGTCCTTCTCGTCCTCGGCGGCCTGCTCGTCGGTACCGAAATGAGAGAGAGTCGACAGAGTCCGGAGAACTCTGTTCATAAAGCTCCCAACGGAGCGGACCGAGCTCCTTCGGAAGAGTTTTTTACTGAAGGATTTCTTCTCCTTGTTACTGACAACTTTCGACATGGTCAGTCCGGTGTCTTCCCCCCCCTCCCTCTTTCCCTCTGCTTTTTTACGCCTTAATTCCAGAAAGGGCCCCCTTTCTTTTTCAGAGCCTCATCCCCACGCAGCGCCAGCTCCTCCGCTTGTTTCACACGAGGCCCGGGCATATTTCACAGAAACATAAAAGGCCTGGCAGTTCTGGGGATCATATGGAGACAGTAGCATCAAATCGGCCCACTTGCAACACTGCGTCGGATTGCATAAACAGCCTCCATGGAGAGCCTCTATCAGGGCGCTTTACATGGACGCTCGGGGTAGTCCCGCAGCAGCCAGCAGCCATCATCTCTACAGCGGTCGGTCCGGTGACATAACATCACCTGTGTCATTGTTTAGACACACACAAATAAATAAATAAATAAATAAATGAAAACAAGGCGCTGTGGTTGAGTATCAGTGGACACAACGTCTGCCGGACATGAACATCAAATCAGCCTTTCACAATTAGGCTGATTGTGAGAGTGGCGAGCGGAATTCCTCATCATTTATGAAAGAAAGCGCAGCTCCACCCTGTTAAAGGGATTTCTTCCCCTCCGGTCCGATCAGATCCACAGGGATGGTGAAAAAAAACCCGGCGGGAGGTTGAGGGATGTTTTACCCGGTGGATGTCTCGTGCCTTAAATCGCCTCCACAGTGTGCGCGCTCGCGGGTGCTCTGCCAAACGGATGAGGACCGCCCCGACCGGAGCGGCTCAGCCCGCCGCTCCGCGCGCCCCGGCCGCCGCGACCAATCTCTTCGTGGTGGCTGATGTGAAAGGTTTCCGGTGTTCCCATCCGAAAGTTGTTGTTTTTTTTTTTTTCTCCCCCCCCCTACCCTTTAATACTCGCCTTACTCCTAGTGCGCCTTTAATTCCTCCTCCCCGGATGGGATTCACGGTGAGGCCGCTTCTCCCGTCTCCATCATCCTCTGTGGGCACCGACACTGCGGGCAGGCAGGGCGGTGACGGCTGACGTCAGGGCCCAAACACTGGTCCATGTTGGAGGAGAGCAGGTACAGAGTGTGATGCTGCTCCATCCCCGTCTCTGGACAGGCGTGGGGCACTGATGGGCGCCAGTTGGGGTAGCAATAAATACAAAATGATCACCTCGTTTAGAGCAAATGATAGGGTATTAAAATATGAATTATGTTTAATTTACTCCAAAACCTTGGAGGAAGAAAAGTTACTATTAGTTAGTTATAAGAGCCACTTGGGGTGTCACACTGAGTTTAATTTTAGTTTTGTAGCATTTCTTGTTAATTATAAATTGCTGTTTGTCCCCAAAAGTATGTAAAATATGATGAGGTGACTACAAATAAGGGCTGACACTCATTCTTATGTTCATTATTTTTAAATCTATTGATCATTCATACATTAAATCCATTTAGGAGTGCAATTTATGATGATTTCTATCAATTAATGTGATTAATCTTATTGCTTTATTAATCATTTGCTGTAAAGATGTCAGAAAATGGTGAAGAATGCCAATCACTGTTACCCAAGCCAAAGGTCTAAAATCCAATGATATTCAATCTAATAATATAATACAATAATATCAATCTCACACCACACTAAAGCCTTCTATTTCCACGTGTATTCCCCAAGCAGTTAACTGAGACAGACATGCCAATTTTCATGACTTGAGGGTGCAAATACATTCAACATGAGCTAAGAACAAAAACCAGGCTAAAATGCAGCACTTAGACATCAGACACACAGACAGATCACTCAATGTGGGATTATGAAAGAAGGATTTATCATAAAAGGCCATACATTTATTAAACTAGATTGATTACATTACAATCTCATTCATCTAAAGAATAAAAATAGTTTAATGAAAAGTAACACAATAGGCTCCATAGTGTTGATCAATGTTTTATGTACAGATTTTCACAATACTGCATGGAAAAAGATGCAGGCATGGAGACTATGCCTATTATTTGTCCAGCCCCTACTACACAAACCTTCACCTTTACATAAACTGCTGAATGTAAAGCTCAGTTAACAGAAAACAATGCAGCTCGTATCAGAAATATTACCTTAATATAATTTAATATCCTAGATGAATAATATTAGTATGAGAAATAATTAACAACAAATATATCAGCCATATAGATTGCAAATGCTCTCACATATATCCCCTGATGTACATTTTTGTTAATTCTTATGATGCTTAAAACTTAAAAATGCAGAACTTAAAGATGTATAGTCAAGACAGTTTCCGCCCTTGTCTTGACTTGAAGGCATTATCACTGGAGAGAAATCACTCAACATTAATCAGTATAAAAAAAGTCTGAACCACCCTGATTTAAATCTCTTAACATTCCCATAAATCCCATTTGGAATTCCAATGCTGCAGCCCCAAACTTGAGACTTAAGGGGATGTAACATGTAAACCAACTACGTTTGATATCACATTCTTTCTTCATTTTCTCAACAACCTGGGAATGGGTCAAGCATGCCTATGTGCCCCCTGTGCTGCTCTGAGAGCCACTACAGAGTCTATCGCTGTTAGTAGTCGATGCACCGGAGGGCAGCGATGGTGGAGGCCAGGCGACGAGGCAGCAGTTTGGCGGTCTGTCTGTACTCTTCCGGTTTGGCCCTCAGCAGGGTGACGATGTGCTGCAGGCCGCGGGAGGGCTGCAGGCCCAGAGCGTCCATCACATTGATCAGGTAGTCTGTGGAGCAGGAACAGGACATTCGATACGCATTAACCGGGAGAATGTGTCATTGTTTTGCTTAGCCATCAGAAGGAATTGGCTAGCTGCATGTGTCTATCCTGGTGCTCTGGTTACTGTACCAATATCTGTGGCCAGCTGTTTGGTGGAATGTGTGCTCAGTTGGGGGATGAGCAGGATGGCGTCACAGTAGGTCTGCATGGTCGCCCGAGCGATGGAGCCCAGCCAGTAGTCCGCTGTGTTGTCCAGCTCGGGAAGGTCATCACCTGAGACAGAGTGACGTTTGAAAAAAAGTGCGTCATCCGTTACTGGTTTGAGGTCAGTGATGTAGATACAGATGGGGATTAAATAAAAGGTGTCAGCTGGAGATGGAGGATAAAGGTCAAACTAAGGTCGTCATGAAAAAAAAAAAAAAGTGCACAGTCCCACAACACATTTAGCTGGTGATAACAATTTGACCTCTCTCTTTGGGTTCATGATAGATCAGTTGTCTTAGAGAATACAGTAATGTGCTCTGTATCTCTGGGTGTATTCTTCTGCTCCAATTTGCCCTACATATACAAACCAAAACATTTATTTTTATATTAAACTTGCACTATCTTTTATTTCTGTTTCAATACTGCGTATTTCATTTTGGAAGTGTATATAACATTTTAACAACAGTTTTTGGACTCACCAAGCCATGCCTGCTATGAAACTGCACCTCTACCAAGCTAACGTGGCTCAGTGGTATCATTTAGATATCAGATTATGCAAATTGTTCAATTTTCCATTGCCATGGTTGCAGTCCAAGAAGGTTGACTTCACCTCTGAACTTAAAAATAAAAAATAAGTTGGCACTGCTTTTAATTTTCTAATTTAAACTGACCACACATCACTGTGCCAACAATGTTGGCAGATGAAAAGGGATGAAGAGATGAAAAAGCTAGATCTATATTCTCCTCTCAGAAATGATTTAAAAATTGGAAGATTATGAAGTCAAATTTGAATACTACTGTATACACTTGTTTTTATATTACACAACCATTAATTCCTTGTGTTAAATGACTCTTTCTCACTTTGAGTATTGAGGTAGTAGTAAAAAAAAATTGATAAAAAGAAATGAGAAACTGAACAGTTAGTGGAAAGACAGCAAGCAGAAATAGCATTGGATTGCAAAGAGAATCAGGGTTGATAGCCAGCAGAAACCTTGCTCTGGAGGGAAAGGCAGCTTCCCAGCATGTAGCGCCATCTCTAGTGCTGGGTCCTCCTGAGTCACAAATGGCTCCAAGTGGAGAGGCAGAGACATCAGGTACTGCCCAATCTGGAAGGAAAAGACATACGTCTAGTTAGATATATCCGGTGTCTGGAAGCAATTCTGCTTGTATTAGCTGTGAATACAAAAAGGCAGCTAGTTTGACTTCCTCTTAGAAGAATGGTTTTTTTGCATAGATCTGTACTGTACATGTATTCAAGTCAAACCTGACTAACATTTGTAATGTATTCTTGCGGTGACAGGCTGAAAGTAGGCAGGTCCTCTGTGTAGCGCTCTCCAAAACCAGGTGCCTCTTGTCTCTGAACACAATTCAAATCGTATGAGGTGAGATTAAAATAGACACAGTATGTCGAACACTCCGACAATCCAAAAGCACTCAGCAAATGCACTCAAATGGTGTCAATCAGTATTTCAAATCAAATCATTTGGAAACTTGACACTTAATCACCTCCATCTTGGAGACAAGGCAGAGCTGGTGTTTGATCTGCAGGAAGACAGAGTCGAAGGCCAGCTGGTTGGCCTGCTGGTTCAGTCTGGTCAGAGCAGATCTGGGCTCTGCTAACAGGCTGGAGTTACCTGTTCCCTTCTCCTGCAGACAGAAAGAGAGGCTAAAAACAGTTGCAGATGGCTCTTGTTAAACCATCTGATAACATGCAACAGTATAACAAGAGTCAGTTATCTTCATTGGACATCAATGAAATCGATCCTCATTCCAACGCCGTGATCTGCTCCATACCTTTAGTGAGTAGAGGACTTCCATCAGGCTGTTGTACTCGGCCATGTTTCCCCTCTGAAGGTAGTTGTATTCCTGCCAGGGGTTCTTGGTGGCGCTCTTCCTCTCTGTGGAGCTGGCCTCCTGGATGCCTGCCAGGCTGCGTGGGCTGTACGACTCTGACAAGTACTTACCTGCCGTGCCCAGGATTCTATGGGAAAGATTGATTGTGTTCAGAGAATGTGTGCAGTTCCTTAAAATATGACATTATGAAATTTAAAAAATACATGTAAAGTATATAAAACACTGTATTTGAATAATTATCTTACTTGTTTGACAGCTGCTGCTCAAAGGCACCGCATTGTCTAAGTAATTCTCCACAAGTGGCAATAATCCTGCAAAATGCAACACAAAACAATTTCATATTAAAGAAATTTGTGTTGATCTAATGAAACTGTACTAATGAAATGGCAATGAAATAGTCTCAAATAATAAAAATAAAACATTAACCTGACAGAGTTCTGGAAGGCTGTCCAGTCCTCTTGGAAAACAGATGAACTTGGAGTATCCTCCAGTTTACATTTCTTCCTGATGGACTGCAGTGTTGTGGAGAAGTCCGACACATACCTAGAACAAGCACAATGTTAAAGCTGGTGAGGTCCACACATTCTCAAAATGAGGCTAATTATTTCTATAAATAAAGTTAATACATTATATGTGGCTTGTGACTGAATTAAGGATCTTTACTTGGTGAAGAGGGCTTTGATGGCTTTGAGGAGACCACACACGGCCAGGCCATCAGTCAGTTTGACACAGCGGTCCACAGCAGCGCTGGCCAGCCCAAAGAACTTGCCAACAGAGTGGCTCAACTCTTCCACACAATCAATTACCTCCCCGTGTTCCTGAAGAGAGGAGAGAATATGAAGAGTGTGAAACAAGGCGGCACAGAGAAAACAGCTGACAACTGTGACAAGGTTTTAATAAATCTATTTTCTTATGTGTGTGTGGTGTCTTACCAAAGGTACAGCACTGATCTGGATAAGAAGGTGAGCTTCCTCCAGATCTCCATACTGTAGTTGATAAGGTTTGTAGGGGTCGTACAGCGCACAGACCAGCTCATTCACCTTCAGCAAATTATTCTCACCTGGGGAGAAAGACACAGACACAACATGAGGACCTTAATCCACCCACATCTGCAGCATCTGCACACTCCTGTCTCATCTATGCACAGACCCAGGTGCGGCAGCATGGCGGCCTCCAGGCTGCGTGCGAAGGTGGATGTGGTGTGATGGAGTTCCAGCAGGGTGTCGAGACGCTGCTCTTGGGCTGCCCGCTCCACGGCCGTGCTCAAGCACACAGGGATGGATGGGACCATGGCTCCCAGTGTTTGGATCAGCAACACTGTCACCACCTGATACGGGTTCTTGAACACCTGTTAGGTGTTACAGTGTAGGTAACGTGTAAACAATTAAAAGAGCATTCTGGCTGACAGTATTTATACAGCGGAAACAGTGAGTTAGCATGGTTGGAACTGTGTGTCTTGGTGCAGTAGTGCGTCTCACCTGGCTGCTCCACTGTAGTTGAGAGTGCCACGAGGAGAGCAAAGTGTCGTAGAATTCAGACAGCTGCTGATTCAGACTGAGCTCGCTCTGAGAGAGATCCTGCCACATGCTCACCAACTGGCCCTGGAGATGCCGAAACACACATTGGTTCACAAATGGACATTAGATTGTCCCTACACCGGACAATATGGTTTTGTGATAGCTAATTTAAGGTCAGGCCCCTACCTTGTGACACTTGTAGTAGTAGGCAAGCAGCTGTGGCATTCTATCTATCTCTGTGAAGACTTTAACAAACAGCTTGGCTTGGTCTGCAGAGAAAAAATATGTGAACATAAGTCTACTTAGTGTACGCCGACAGTGAACAAAGAGATGGAGGTTGGAATACATTTGAGAAGCACTTCTCACAGGTTCCTTACCTATCGACATGGAATTAAAGGTTGCGACTATTTGCGGGCTGGCCAGGGCCTCCAGTCTGTTTTTCAGAGCCTCTAGGTGGACACACTTTTCAGAGTAGTCCGGTGTGTCCACCAACATGGCCAGGCTGTTCTGCATGCTGGTCAGCTTGGAGGAAATTACTGCAAGGTCCTGGAAAAGGAAGAGAACATATTGATCAAGGTCCACAAAATAATGTCGAGTTAGGCAACAAAACACACCAATTCGATTAAACTATTCCTCCTGGAATATATAGACTGGAGCCCCGTGCACGTGTGTAGTGAAAAGAATTCCTACATTTTTATTGTTTTAAGAAAAACTAAAAGGAGCACAATCAAGTATTTGTTATCTATGAACGCTTACGTTGAATATCGAAGATATGCACACATATGCAGTCTTTCAAGACTTTAGGCAAATCAGAATGAATGTTATGGCCTTTGTTCTAATCCTAAATATAGTCCTGAGGCGCAAATGGGTTTAAACTAAACTGAATATACAGAAAGTCATATTACAGTAAAACAATAAATTCTATTCCAATCGTCATTTCCTTTTTGATGACCATGTATGGAGATGTTGCCACGATGAGTGGCAAAGGTTCATGATCTTTAAGCAGCAAGCCAGACAAAAACTGAACAAGTGAAGTGGAAATGTCTTCCATTCATACCTGTGTTTTGAAGGTTTCCTCAATGTCTGCACTCAGCGTGCTCCATTTGTCCGCCTCCTGCAGAGCTTCAGCTGCCAGCTGCATGCGGCCCTTCACCTGATCGATCTCCACCAGGACCTGGTGCAAAGGAACAGAATATAAAAAGTCATACCTAAGAAATATCCGTACAAGTGTCCTTTATGCCACAGTCAGGCTTTCACTATTATATATCAAATGGATTATTTCAATAAAATCAGGTTATGAGTCAATGTAGATTTGTATCATTGTTTTACATGCATTACTTCTGAGCACTGAATATTCATCATGTATGTATTTATTATGTATATACTGCAGTAATGATTGACTTGCAGACCTGCATAGACTGCACAGTGTCCTGCTCAAACTTCTTGATGTCCTCTTTGACCAGAACCATTTGCTCCTTGAGGAAGGAAGCCTCCTGTTTCAGCGCCTCCACATCTCGCAGTACTCTGGGCATATTTTGGAGGGCCTGATTACTGCTCTCTGCACACAGAAAGGCAGCAATCTTTCAGTTAATGATGGACATGACAAGCAAAGTATAACTTTCATAACATTATAGACTATTTGGTGGCACTCTACTGTCATCATATTTCAGGTAAAGACTCATACTCATCACTCACCATTTACTCAGTTGCCAGTTTATTATGTACAGCCAGCTAACACTAATGTTGTCCAACACAAGAGTCCTGCGATAAACCTTCATGAAGGTTCTAGTGTTTATTTTGGGGTTGAAACTGTTTTCAAGTTGTGTTCATTCAACTGAGGTGTTTCTTTTATTTTGTCCACCTCATTTATATCAGTGAGGTTAGGCTGAATATCAGGAACACGTCTCTGTATTACGAGCACAGTCCAATAGCGGTTAAAAACATGAACAAACATTAAACATAACATTATTAATCTCCATTTATGACAAAATAATGGTAATTATTAATTAGAATATTACCATGTAATGGCTATTTTCTCTAAACCACACATTCTAAAACTACAAGGACAGAAAACTACTCACTACATAACATTGCATAGCCTAGTCAGTGATGTATAATGATCGGTTGTGAAGATTGCATGCAGCAAAACAAACCAGGGCGTGACTGCAAACAATAAAATGAGCAAATACAGTCTAATACTGCATCCTTTCCATAAAGCCTGCGTCAAGAAGGTTTCAATGAAACTGAGAGCTGTGGATTCAACTTTAAGGACATTCTGGAAGCTGTTGGTGTTGGATTGTACTGTATTATACATAGAGGTTGTAATATTTAAGTCTAGATTTACTGACACAAATAAAGTGGGCAGAACAAATCTCACACAAAGCAGTCAATAGGTAGGAATATTAACAGAGCTGATTTAGCCAGGTGTACCTCATGACTGAGTGACAGCAAGATAAAACACAGGCCCTGTGTGCAAAAGAAGTGTCATTAGTTTCCTTCAGCTGCTCACCCTCAATGGCATTGTTGACTTCCTGGATGAACAGCTGCAGTTTCATCACCAGTGTGGCTGCGTGTGTGTCCGCCTTCCCCGGCGCGTCCTTCTGCACCACCCTGAAGGCGCCATTCACCCAGTCTTTCACATCAAAATCATCGTCCAGGAACTTGGAGAAATCCATTTGTCCTCGTCACTCCTTCACTAACGCAAGAAGCTGGGCGGTGTTCAGTCAAACACCTGCTGCAGTGCAGTCTGTGTCATCGAGCCATCGCTGGCGGCAGCTAGTTTTTCCCAAACAGCGGCTTCGACACGAAGATAAAATAGATAGCCCAGGAAAACGAAATTATCATTACAACTAGATACAGTTCCAACAAGGCGACGGCTTCCTCCAGAGTTGTTTTTTAAATGTTCACGGCTTTAAAGGAGAAAAGTAGAGGCATTTCTGAGTGTTTGATGCTGTTAGTGCTACACTACACTTGACAACAACTTCCTCTTTGTGCTTTCTATTTACCTTCCCCCGGAAACAAGCGCGAGCACAACAAACGGACCTGCTGAATAAAATATATATTTAAAATAATAATGATTATAAAAATAATCGAGCACATTCCCTTAACAAAGTAGGTCAGTTTGTGTGTTTTTAAATAAAGATATATCACATTTGGTGCAGAAAAAAAGTGAGAAATACATAAAGTGTTTAGTTTGACGCAGTGTCACAAATAAGTATGTCCGTGCGGAAACCTTTTTCTTTTTCAAGCGTTGTGTTGGGACCATTGACAGTGAGACTTATTTGCCTTGAAAATATCTTTCAGACTTCTTCATGCCCAAACAGTTTCTACCCATCTGATTGTTTTCTGTTACTAAGGCTAAGTTTGAGTTTGAGGTCCGTATGCACTCTGCTTCCCTCTTGAGGTAAGCAATCAAACTGCAAGTGGAGCTAAAAATGAAGTTGAACATTTTATGTAGCATTATGACATTAACATATGATCAGTTTACCAATGCAGCAACAATACAAAGAGCATAGATGAGTAATTCTTAATGTGCCTAAAGATAGTTTGTTTCTTACTTTAAAACTATACAGACAAAATTACAATAATGTACATTGTAGAATATTCTAAATGTGATCTTTGGGAGGGGGAAATAGTTGAACTGAAGACTGATGAAGCTTTGCAGAGTGTGTCTGGATCAACAGGAAGGTATCTGTCAGCACTGTTAACCAACATAGAATATTACATATTTATGCATTCATAAAATGGCATTTGATAGTAGGGAGCTATGGGCAAAAAGCATCCTAGCCGGGTCTCATTTTGGTCTTACATATCACATCTAAGAGAACTGCTGACGCAGATGTCAAACAGAGAGTGTAGACCAGGCAGAGTGTTGATAGACAGCGGAGGGATCTGACAACTATTGGAAATCTTCCTCTTTGTTTCACTGCTTTTCTGGTTGGGAGCAGAAAACCACTCTTCACCCTGGATTGGGTGTGATGCTGAAGTTTAATTTAAAAGTAATTATAACAATACAATTAAAAATAATAATGATTATGCCTTTCTGTAACAGTGTCGCTGTTAGAATAATGGCTTTACAAAGTCATGCTCTAAAAAGTTCAGTTACTCCATATGTGCTGCAGCAGACAGTTATCACTACACACCGTCTTTATCATGTATACTATGCAAACTAGATTGTGTGGTAAGTGGAGCTGAGAGGCAGTAAAGCAACAGGAAACACACATCAAACACAGCTCAACTACTTTCTGGCAGCTAACTCGGAGGACATATAAAATAAAGGTGTATAATCTGCTCTTCAGCTCATTTAAAGATGGGAATTATTGATGATATCAAGGATACCGTATCCAAGGCGGTGTTTACTCCTTCTTCGCTGTTATCCGGCCGAGGCGGACTGCACGCGGCTCAGATCCTTCTTTCTCTGGTCACCTTTGTCCTGGCTGCCTTCAGAGGGGGGAGCACCCATACCTACTGGAACTATGCAATGTTCACCTGGGCCTTCTGCCCCATCATGACCCTCATCATCACCATTATTGAGATGTTTAAGCTTGATATCATACTCAATATGTTTTGCATGGACTGGGGTGACTTCACCACAGGGATGGCCATGTCTTCTACACTCATGACTGTCTCTGTCGCCATTACCTATGCCAATTTCTATGCCTGCCTGAAATGCCTGTATGGCTGGATAGTGAGCATATTTGCTTTCTTGTGCGGCTTTGTCTACACACTGGAAGTGGTGAAGGACAAAATCCTGGACAAGAAGAAAGGGAGCTACCTGTCTGCTCTGCCCGGATTCTGGAAGGTTATGGAGGCCTTTGTGAGCTGCATCATTTTTATATCACTGACTGGTTACAGAGACAAGCCGGCTCTGATCTTGTGTATTATAGCATATGCCATTCCTTTCCCAATCCTCCCTCTAATAATAGCTACCAACATCTTAAAGAAACTGAAGAAGTGTTTGCCCTTTAACCTGGACAGGTTTGTGTTTATATTTCTGGTGATCTCCGTTGTGCTGTATATATTTGCAGCTATTGTGTGGCCCATTTTTACGTTCAGAAACAACCCTCGTCCCAGTGACTGTCCACCAAGCTTCTGTATCTGGGCCATACAGTTTATGGTCACATTTATGACCTATGTGAATCTCATTCTTTTCACACTGGACCTCATTTTTACCCTGCTTGGCATCTGTGAATTTAAACGCACTTAAGCTTTAACAGGACATTTACACTTGTTCTTCAGGGTTAGGCTTAGTCTTAATATAAAAACATCTCTTCCCATTACATTAAAACAAAAAAGTGTGTTTTTTTTTCTAGCAAAAAAAAGATGTTTCTAGTTTAAATTATGCTTTTAAAGCCTGATGTAAAGTGCCATTTCTGATCTGGAGTCACTTGATCACATTTTCCACATTTGGGTCCATGAGTGTACGCAGTCTCTTTTGGAGCAGAAGCAGCACTGCAGCTGTGCACCAATCATGGATTGGGGCTTTAAACATCCATTTCTGGTCAAACTCAAATCGCCAGACTTAAAAGCTAATCGACATTTGTGGTGATGTGTAAAAAACACACAAGGCCAGGATTTTGTCACACTGGCTCAATATCAGACTGAACACAGAACAGAAAAGTGGCAACAACAAATAAAAGCTACAATTCTAGCCATAGTGACAGTTTTGAGCAACTAGGTTTCTGGTTGTATTCTTTTATATATTCTGCGTATTATGTTTGCATGATTTTTTTTTTTAACAAACATTTTAACATATATCCTTTGTCCAGTTTATTAATGGTTTAGCGTAAAGTATAATGTGTGATGCATTATCAAACCTAAAATTACAATTCAGCTCTGTGCATTTTTTTCATTGTTCATTTTCATAATGTGATATGAAATATGACCTGCATATGTCACTGCCAATGAATATTAATAGATGTAAAATGTGTTGCATTACGTCTGTTTGAAAATGAGATTACACATGAATGAACACACCTGTGTACCCTGGCATCTGTCAGATGCAGACAGATGAGGGATACCAAAAGTGACTGATGTGCAACGGGAATAAAGTGACACTGCAGTTTAGACACATTGTGACCTCATTTTTTCAGTACTAAATGAAAAGGCTTAAAATTACAGAAAAGAAACAGAGAGAAAGTCATAAAGTTAAGTTTATATTCCATTGTCGGTTCACAATTGAATTTCAAGGTAAAATCCGGTTAAGGTAAAAGAAATCAGTTCAAATTTAATTATGACAAATGTGAACGGATTACATGAAAAGATAAGAAGAAAAAGATGGAGCGCATTCATTTGGTCACACTGATTTTAATCACAAAAGGGAGTAAATGTTATTTGCTGATGTTGGTTTCGGAAAATTGAATTAATTACTCAATAAACTAAAATAAATACAAACATGAATTGCAGAAAAACTCCATAGATAAGCAGAATAAAAAACAGCATTGAGGGCAGCAACAGAACATATGGTATATTCCACTTCAGACATTCATGAAATGCACACTGACACACACACATTTCATCCTGCCAGAAATTTGAATAAAAGGAAGTGTGTAAAAGGTGCCTGTCTGTGGTATTAGAGTTGGCTCTGTCTCAGTATGAGAATCAAACAGCAGTAGAACAAGGAATGAGCTGTTCACAGAGACCTTTGCTTCTTATTTTTTCACTTCAAGATCTGGAGTTCCTAATTTGAGCATCATGTGTGGCCCATTCAAGGGCTGTCAGGGTATTTTGCGCCTCCTGGAAATAATCTTCAGTGCTTTGGCGCTCATCATTGTCATCTTCAGAGGCAGGATGGTGAGTCCGTGGGGTGTCTGGTGTGAGTTTGTCTGGGTTTTCTGCATCACTGTGCCCCTGGTCCTGACCGTGGTGGAGGCCAAAATGTGGCACATCCTTCTGGCCGTCTTCCTCCCCAACTGGGCTGACCTGACCTGCGGGCTGACCACCCTGTGTGCTGTGACCATCACCTCAGCCACGGTCATCTTTGCAGCCGTTTTTATCTGCCTCTCCTGCATCGTCAGCATGTTGTGTTTCCTCTTCTCCCTGGTTGCCACCGTTATCTTCCTGATCGATGCCGTAATGCAAAAAAAGACATTTCCAAGCGGCTACCTATCCAGCCTGAGAGGAGGTCTGCGCACAACAGAGGCCTTTATAGCCTGTATCATCCTCACTGCGGCCACTGACCACTTTGTGAACGGTGAATGGTCCTTTCGGCCTTTTGGGATGATATGCAGCATCATTGTGTTTGCCGTTTGCCTCCTGGTCACCGTGGTCATCATCGTTCTCCATCTGCTCAAGCTACTGCAGTGTCTACTCTCGTTCAGGCTGAGTGTGATGGAGCTTGTGTTCAACATTGTGGCAGTGCTGTTGTACCCGCTCGCGGTCATTCTGTGGTGCGTCTTTGGTTACAAACGCTCCAAGTACAATCCTTACATCTGTGAAAAGTGTTCCTTCGTGGACATGAATACTGTAAACATTGGAGCCATTGTCAGTCTGGTAGTTTACATTGTGGACCTGGTTTTATCCTTCAAATCTCTCTAGAAATAGATAATACCTGAGTTGTATCTAGAGATTAAGATGAAAACACCAATTTAAGTGTGTTGCATGGCTTCATTTTCTCAAGTAACTTTTTTTCAGTGAGGAAAAATATCGGAAGGATAGTAGATGTTTATGGTCTGTATGTTGCATAAAATCATGTGAAATATTAACATTATATAACATCCCTCAATGGCTTTTAATAATAACTTTAAATCCTGGATTGATTACAGTGCACAAATGTTGAAGTCAGTAGCAGACACCTTGTATATATAAAAGGTTGTTTTAGTCATATTGTTACTAACACATGAATGCTGTTTGGGGGGATGGCAGGGAGTATTTCTTGTCAATTTAAAATGACTGCAGATGTATAATATATGATTTGAAATTGTCTTTACAATAAAGAGAAGAAAAATTGTGCTTAATCCAGAGTGCACAATGCAGTTTGCTACATATCTAATCATTTAAAAAAGGTTTATTGTAGACTTCATATCAGTAAACATTTGAGTATTTCAAGTTTTATTGCTTCTCTTCTAACACAACAATAGTTCAGAGACAGTATATTCAAATCTCACAAGTGTGGCAGTTACATGTCATGAAACTGAGATAGTTAATGCAAATGTCACAGGAAACACTTGATACCAAAGTACTTTTTAACAATAGTACATATATTAACACACTATTTTTAAACAGTGTTGTTAAACATTACATGATTTCATTAAAAGGCATATAAAAACAACATTTATTAACATTACAGTCCAAGAGAATCAGAGTTCCTGTTGTGAAAGGGCAACAGTGTGTGCGCACTGCCGCTCCCTCAGTCCTCCTCTGGTTCCTCAAACTCCACAGTCTCCAGTAGACCCTGAAAACAGAAGTAATGGGAGTTGCAGTAGACAGGAGACTTGCTGGGACACGAGCCCACCACTTCTGGTTTCAGCGACGCGAAGGGGTTGGCTCCACTTCCCTTCAGGTCCATCTCCAGCTCCAACAGGATCTGCAGGGAGTACGTCATCTCTGTCTCACTGTGGATGGAGGACAAGAAGCAGCCATTACACATGTCACAGACAAATTCACATCAACGATGAGTGACTGGGTTTCAGACATTTGGTGTATTTGCATACTTCCACTTACTGGGGTAACATACAATACAGCAATGCAAATAATATGCACCAATGTCAGTGTGCTTTATTTGTATATTATTCACAGTTAAAGTTACTGATTACTGAATTACTGATTAGAATATAAAGATCAGTGGTTCAGTAAAGCATACTAAACCAATTCAAGTTACCAAATACTTTATTTGCAATATAGTGTAGGCAACAGCCAAAACACTCTTGTGTTAATCAGTGGTGTATTTATCTACAGTCTGATATTGTTTAAAGAGGCATAAACTCCAAATCCACAGCTCCCTTCCCCTAAAGCATTTATAATCGGATTACTGTAGTGTAATGTGTCGTCTGAACAAGTAGCATTAAATGGAACATATTCAAGTAAAGTGCCTCCAAATTGTAGTGAAGCACAGTACTTGAGTAAATGTACTTAGTATCAACCTCTGAAATTCTGTAACACTCACCTGAGAGTAGTGAAAAGAGAAGGAATCTCATAATCCCTGAGGAGCAGAAGTGTTGGAAGCCAACCCTGTTCCAGGCCCTGACTAACATCAAATCCTAAAAAACAAATCAAAAAGAGCTCAGATTGAACAAGAACCTCCTCCTGCAACACAACAATTCAGATTTTAGAGAGTAAACGTGGGATTGGTATTAGATTTTTGTGCAATGGGAAATATGTTCTCACCAGGATGAAACCCAACCACCAAATCTGGCTTGGCTGCTTCCTCCTTCTCCACCAGCTCTTCCCAGAACTGGTGGTAGAGGCCCTTGTATGCGCTGATGTAGACCCTCTTCTTGGGGCCAAACGCCCTGAGAGGAGGCCTCATGATGGGGCCGTCCACCACCTCTGGTCCCACCATGACTATCTCGATACCCTGGTGTCCAGGGAACATGTTGTTCAGCTCATCGTAGTCGGTCAGTCTGGCTGCCAGAGTCTCACTATTTCCTGCTCCCACCAGGTGAATGGTGAGAGGTTTAGAACAAGGCTTAAGGCCAAACAGCCTCATCCCCCAGGCTATGCTCAGTGGTCTGGAGAAGAACTCACTGCAAACCCTCCACAGAGACTGCTTCAGTTCCTCATCATCAGGCTGAGGCCTGCCAGCGTTGGTCCACAATTCTTTCATGTTTGCTCCTTTTAAAATGGGATCGAGGCGAGCCGAGAGATCTCCCTGCATCGCAAGCCAGTCATCCCAGCCTTTAACCTCAGACTCGGGCTTTGACCATTTTTCTGTGGGGAATGGAAGGTCTTCTGACGATAGAAAAACAATGAAAAATAGTTTAATAGAAGCAGAAAAAGTTCATGAGTTTTGGTAACTATCCTTTCTTACAGAAGAATAATTCCCCTCTTTTATAGTTTGTGTAGATTCTTTTTAAATATACGTCTTACCTTTGAACAAAAGCCACTCCACAACTCTGTCAATGGCGGCGAGACGCAGCTGTGAGCACAACCTCTTGTGTTTGGGCCAGTCGTCCTTCTGACATTCTTTGCAGCAGTAGTAAACATGTAGACATCTGTGCAACGATAGGAGTGAGAGATCTGTGATTGTGAGAAGTACTGACTCTGATGAGGGAATATCTTGGCCGCACCCGCCTGCTGGGCCAGACTTTGTAGTTTTTACCTGCCACAACGCTTCAGGCTCTGTGGGTTTGAAAGTTGATTGGGCTGCTTCTCGCAGTGTGAACAGATTTTAAAAGACTCCTCCATCTTTTCGAACATTTCCTTTTGAGACCGGAAGGCCATGGGTTTACCCTTGGCCCCCACACCAGCTCTGGGGAGACAAATAAAAGAGGAACTTAACATCCTTAGAAAATACAGAAAACAACAGAATTACTGTGCTGTAATATATTCGTATACCAGTTATAAAAACTTCAAACTAATATAACTATTGCAGAATCCATGTTCAGCTTGTCCTCAGGTCAACAACAGACCACTGAGGCCTTTCTCCTTTTCTATTCTTAGACTGTAACATTTGCTACAGTATGAGGAGGAGGAGGGCAGATCCATAATGCGTTTACATTTAAAAAAATAAAGTTGCAGGCAAAGGGACCTGAAGCTTAAAGGTGACAAAAGGGACAGAAAGTAACAGCAGGACGCTTTGAAACAGGCTGCGGTGGCAAGCTAACGTCTCAAAATGCCATTCAAATGTCGAGCTGCCGTTATTAACGAGCACCAGGTGGCTCCGCTCCTGCCCTACACGGGTTTTTTTACTGCGCCATACAGGCGAAAATGTACATTACATGTTTTTCAAATTAAAGTTCGGGGTAGAGTATATGTTCATAATGTAGTCAAACCGTACTTACCTATCAGTTTCCGTCATTGCGCTGGTTCTCCCTCCCCTGGTCCTGTGGTTTGATATCTGAGCGGGCTGTTGGGGGCTGTTGGGGGCCACTGGTGCCAGATATAGCACCTGTGCTTGTCCTTCTAGAAAGTTCCGGAGTCCAGACGGTTCCTGACTTCACAAGACTTAAAAACAGTGGCAGATACGGGTCGAAAGAAATCAATGGGCCACCAGAGCTGAGAAAGTCGTGGTGCGTTTATGGTCAAACAGTCCCAAACCCTTTTTAAAGGTCCACTGTGTGACATTTAGAAGGACCTATTGGCAGAAATTTAATATATTATTTAGGAATATGTTTTAATTAGTGTATAATCACTTGGAAATGAGGAGTTTTTTAGGGTTATATAAAGATTTAGTGTGTGTGATTTCCTCCCTAACAGTATTTTCAAACTTTAAGGCCACAATTATTTTTCTTGTTTTGAGTCTTTTTTTTTATTCTCTTAAATATAGAAATCTGCATGCCCCAGCATCTTTAAGTGGTGTTCAGTCATGCACCAGAGTTCTTCTGCCAGCTTCTTCTCACAAACAAACATTACAAAGGTTAACTAAGCAAACACACTCACACAGATGGTGTTCAAATGTGTGCTTCTATCATTAACGCCAGATATCGTATAAAAAGTATAAAAAGTGAAAATACTCTCTGATTCTGAGAGAAATCATGTATCCAAAGAGCTGTTTCTCCTTGTTAAGATCCCCTGGGGTCTTTTCTTTTTAATCACTTGGGGTCTTCATTCTTAAACAAATAATTGCATTTTCTCAGCACATCAGTATTATTGTATATACTAAAATATTTATAGAGTCATTTTACTCCTTGGAGATACAATTTGTTATATCTGTCTGTTTTGATGCTGGACCTGTTTCTAATTTATTTTTTCATCCTGGGGCTGTCATCCGTCTCCTCACTATTCATTAGAACTGTTCCCTTTTCTCTGTTCAAATCATTGTCTTCCTCTCTCCACTAGAAGGGAACCCTAGAGGGTACTGTATTGCATTCTCTCCACTGGGAGGGCACCCTAAATGGCACTATAGTGGTAACCAAGAGGGCACTTTTGCTTTGTTTCTATCAAACATGACCTAAAAACTACATTCATATCTGTATATTGTACCCATCCATTACTTTTAATTTAAATCTAAGTTTGATTCACTTTAATCTTAACCTACCAGCCCACCAAAAATTCCAGAGCACTATTATAGTACTGCTCTCTGTGTGCTATTACCGCGTTCATCCACTAGAGGGCAGTGTGACACTATAAAGGCTGCAGCACTGGGAATATCGAGACATTTCCCTGTTTTATGAAGTAAGGCAGGCAGACAAAGATGTAACGGTATGTGTAACACACTGGTATCAGTGTCATGAGTGAGCATTATTATTTATTTTCAAACATCAAACCAACAAACAGCAGATACATTTCACCTTTTTCACTGGTACAAATAGCAGTTTTAGGCAGGATTGTCCTCACACCCATTTAGGTTAGTAAGATTGGATTTTGTGACCCACCCACATGAAATGTTCTTGTTATTCATTTAGAACTGAGTCACTGCACACAGGGAGATCATAATGAAAAGATGTATGTAAGTCTTCCCTTATTGTTCTAATGTGTTTATCACTTGACTGCTAAATTATTGGAAAATCAAGCCATTCCTCTTTTTAAATGGAATTTATGGATGTAACACTACAATAAGGTATACCAAATTTAAAGTTACCGATCATACTGACCACTTTCTCCAGTAATTCCGGATTAACTCTGAACCAGCCAGTGAACAGCACAAAACAAAAAAAACTATTAAAGACTCATTTATTACTAATTACTTAAACATTAGTTACTGTTTTTTGTGCAAGTAAACTTACATAATCGTAATACTGAGTGGTTAGGCTATTACTTCACTACTCATTGACTTATTGTTCACTAGCAGTTATTTCCTCATTCATTCCTCATTTGTTCCCTGGTAACTACTTAAGATTTATCTGAAATGTTTGCAGAAAGTGGGTTTAATTTTGTAGTCATGAAGTGGCATTTCATAAGCTGCCACAGAGGCAAAATTATTTCATTTTCGTCCATGCTTTGTAATATAATGCAATCCCTTACAAAAGGCCTGCAATAGGTGAAAGCATATATTGTTCAGTTTTGTTGAGACTGTCAGACAGGCAATTCCTTATGGCAATTTTTAAGCCTGTGCCTCATGCTGTTTTTTGGATTACATTGTATTGTCTGTTGTGACTGTTATCAACCCCAGAATACAACTGAAAACAGCTGTCAAACAAATGCTGCCTGGATTTTGGGCCATTTTATTGTCAAGAGATAGAGAAATGGCATGATTGCTTATGAGAGTCTCCACTCAGCACATAAGAACTATTATATTGTCTATTTAAGAAGACAAAGCCATGGTGAGATGTCTAAAGCATGAACAGTTGAACAGAGCCACAATTTGTAGGCAGGTTTGGGTTCACCAACAGAACATCCATTGTCCACACACACCACATACTCCAGAACAACAACTCACCATTTTAAAGTCCTGCAACAGCTACAAATGAGAAACAGAATCACAAAAAATAAGAAAAAATAAACCAGGGTTTAGTAAAATTCAAGCGCTGTGGCACTGTATAGTTTATTTAAGTGTAATATTAGATCATGAGTTACATTAGCATGCGTGTGATCTGATTTCATGCAGTTACTGTGAGATTTGGGAATAGGTGTACCCACAGATCAATTTACATCAAATGATACATTTTGGTCTCATTACGTATGTACACCCATGACCCTTAATATCCAACAGCGATTCCACCTCGGGGCACCAACACAGTACAAATCTCTGTGTCCCGCTGACGCCCTCAGGTGCCATCATTCTAAATAATGAGCTTTGAGAGATTTCTGTAATCTGTCTCATTAATTGATCATTTCAGAACTGAAAGGACAGTGTTTAGTATATTATTGCAACAATGAAGGTGCATTTTTCTCCTATTCTAAAAACCACATCTTTAACATAGAGGACTTGCGGCACCCCAAACAGGCTTTGTTTTTCCTCACAATGGCCTCTTAACTGTCTGGCTCGGCTTCCTCTAAGCCTTCTTCAGGCAGGATTCCCTGGAAACAGATGTAGTGAGAGCTGCAGTAGACTGGGCTATTGTTGGGGCAGGACTGGACCTGCTCTGGTTTCTGTGAGGTGAATGGGTTGGGTCCACTGTCCCGGATGTGTATCTCCAACTCCAACAGAATCTGGAGTGAGCACTTGAGCTCCATCTCACTGTGGAGACAAAGATATAGCTAAGGAATCAATTAATCAGGTATAATTAGTTTTATTATTATGAGAGACTGAGGAGAGATTAAACACCTCAAAGACTAATGTGAACATCCACCCACATGAAAAGAGTTTGAGAGAAATTATGGAGGAACAGCAACAATATGAAGCGATAGAGAACAACATCAATAACCTTTCTATATCATCAAGTTAGAGTCTACAGGGGCAGTTTGTTTAGAGCGCCTGCAGCAGAGGAAATAAATCTTTTCTTCAACTTGGCCTTTGTACAAACGAGAAAGTGGTATTTGTCACCAGAGGGAAGGAGCGTGAAGTGTGGAAGCAGTGGTGTGATCTGGGTCGCGGGCAACGATAACTGTGTTGAGACTGAGGACCGTGGTGATGAGGTCAGGTAGGAAGAGTCGGGAGACCAAACATGATATGTGGGTGAGCAACAATTGTGCCATAGAGGAGGGCAGAGTTTGATATAGAATAATACAGAGGGAGGAGGAGGTGCAGTAAGTCTCAATATTCATTTGTAGTTGAGGATTGAATAGCAGATGGTATACATTGTGAGTTAATGACTCCTCCCGGCACAAAGAACTTAAAATATTTATTATGGCTGGAACAGCAAGAAATGAGTTATTCCCATAATAAATGTGAAACTGGTGTATGTATCATAGAATAATGTGACTAACCTGTACATAGTGAAGAGTGAAGGGATGTTATAATCTCTGAGCAGCAGAAGGGTGGGCAGCCAGCCTTCTATCAGACCCTGGTTAGCATGGAACCCTGTGTTAAAAAAGACATATAAACACATGTGTAAGAGATATGTAATAAGGCCTTCAAACAAAATCGTTGTGAATGTGTCTGAGAAGCTGTGCAACCAGTGTGTTAATATCATGATAAAATTACCACCTATCAGGTTTGTTTAAAACACATGAAAACTTAAAATTCCAAATATTTCTCTGTATAAATTTTCCTGACTAAAACCCAAAGTACTGGACAAATTTAATTTTTTTTTGACCTGCTGATGGCACCAGAAGAAAAGTGTCAGGCGATCACCAAAGTCACTAGGATATATTGTCTGGGTTCCGTATCTATTTTGTCCAATACATCTAATCATTCTTGAGTTTGAACAAAATTACCAAAAGAACCAACCAATAGCTTGTCTGAAACACAGTCCATCCGACCAACAGACCGACATTTTCACTCTAGCATGGCTAAGAACCATCTTTAGATATTACTCATTAAGAGTTTAACTTTGGAAATCTCAGCTAATCTGCTTCATCAGGACTGTGTGGGTGTGGCTTAAATGTTGTTAAATCCTGATTGGTGCACTGAAGTAGGTGACATCAAAGTTTCTTCACCTGAGCACTGCTCACTTCAACTAAGTGGAAAGAGCACAAAGAAAACCAGAAATCTTTAGTGTGAAGTCTTCAGGGCCTTTAACTCAAACTTCATACAAACATACATACCTCCCTGAATAAGTCAGCTGAATGACACTGGCACTGGAAAGCTCTTATTGAGCTGTCTGTTTCTCGCCATGCAAGTCTTTACAGAGTGACAGAGGAAAAAGACAGGTCTTTCCCCTGTGAGGTGAAAATCGAACAGATTACGCTTGATTAGTCTCAAGCCGTCCATGTCTTTCTCTTGTAAGCTACAATATGTTTCTTTCTGGACATGTCATTGACAGTTTTTTGCAGTCAGCCTAATTATCAGTCAAAATGACAAAATTAATCTTGCTCCACACAAGCTGACCTCATTTAGAAACTTCAGCCGGACTGGAGAAAGCTTGCTCTAACCTAACTTACACCGCGCCAGCTGAAAATTCGTGACATTCCAGTGAAGAAGTCTGGCTATATCTATGATGGGGTTGGGTGCATAATCCGGCAGCATGTTAACTGACAGATGTTTCTTTCCCCCCTGACTATGGTTTGTAGGAGTAGTCCCTATTTCTGAGCAGCAGTGTGGAGTGATGAATAGCTCGACCTTCAACCAGATGACTGAGGTTCAAGCCACCGTGGCAGCAAATACTGTAAATCCAACCAGCTTAAGTGTCCTTGAGTGAGACAAAACCGGGGGAGCAGCAAACAGAGAATTTCCCTGCTCAGTCTCACATTATTAGTTTGTCTGAGAGAACGAATCACAAATTCAATTTGAAAAACTATGCGTGTGAGAAATATGAAAGTAAGCCATGAATTTATTACAGCTTCAGCTGTTTAGTACATACTGGTGTATACACTGATTGTAAGAGTGTTGTGTGGTGGGCACAGAGGCACAGTATTGTAAGGCTTGTGATACTGGCACACAGATGGTATCATGTTATATATCGCCCGCCACATCTTTTCAGGAAAAAACTGCAGAAAGAGGATTTTAATTTGAATAATGCATGCCATGATACTGACATCCCCGAGGTTACACTTCTCATCATGATGAAACATTTAACAGGCAGTAAACGTTTAGGCGTTTAGACCTTCAGGGGATAAGGTGACAAAGAGATGTTACAGTCGGACTGTTAATGACTGCAATAATTGCCTGGCTTCAATGTGAATTTGGGCCATATGGTGGATAAAGTTGCTGTTAATGGTAACAGACTTATTTTGTCTCCTGAAAAAAATAGGCTTTAGAATGATGAAAATCCAGTTTATTTCATGGACAACAAAAACTATCTGGATGTTGTGTTTGTGTTTATGAGGCCCCCTGTTTTCAGTGGTCTATCTTTGTATGGATGGCACTTCTTTAGCCCACATCCATTTCCTTTGTGAGAGTTGACAGCTGACATCACCCTCCCTCTCTCACTCTCTAAGGTCAGTGTCAGTTTTCACTGCTTTCTCGCAGCATTTTCCTCTCTCGTTCCCTTTGTGACTTTCGCACACACATACACCTTCCTTTTTATTCCTTTCGTCATGCTGCCTTGCTCCTCTATCACTTAAACAGTGTCATAATGCAGTGCTCTGCCAGATTTGCAGTATGAAACGCAGCCAGGCACTCAGGCAGTTTACTCGCAGGATGACTGATTCCTGTATATTTAGCTCCAGTGGAGCCTGCAGTGATAACTGAGCCATGGGTTATGGATGCGGTTGGGTCGGAGCTTTACTGCTACTTTGCAGGTTAAAGGGTCACAGAACTGATTCAGTGGAAGAGCTTAGGAGGTGTAGGGTTATAGTGCCACTTTAATGAGGTGGTTGTCTGTCTGAGTGGACAAAAGGGCAGACAGTAGATGTTGACACTTTCAGTCTAGCATTCTATTTGTCACGAGGTGGAGAAGACGTTTCAGTTGCTTTTTGTGTATCAGAAAAAAAAACTTTTTTATTAGGTGGGGACAGGGATGGTTAGATTGTTTTAAATCAATGATTTTGCACATGACCAGCAATGTTCATCAGAGTGAAACTGGGACTCCTCTTCTTTGAAAAGGGCAGCTTACTGACATTATGCTGAGTCCAGCAATCACAAGCCAAACTCTTTCCCAGCTGCTCCCATTAATCACCCAAATCCCCAATAAAAGCCTGGCGCTAATGAATAGGCCAGATCTAGTGAGTTACACGTCTCCTGTTTGCTCTGTTCTGAGGTAATTGTCAAATGAGCATAAAGGGAGACGAGTCACTGGTTCTCTAAGACAGCTGACCACTTAAGCTGAGCAGTTTCTATTTATAGCCACAGTGATCATTATGTTCTTTACTGGTTGATTTAAAGGCATGTTGAGGTGAAAGTCTCCTTTCAGCCAGACTTATCTCGAGATTTTAGTGGTTGAGCAATCACATCTCTTACTTTTTTTTGTTCGTGTTTGGCAGGATGTTGAATGTACATACCAGGATGAAATCCAACCACCAAATCTGGCTTAGCTCCTTCCTCTTTCTCTACCACATCCTCCCAGAACTGGTGGTAGAGGCCCTTGTGGGCGCTGATGTAGACCTTCTGCTTGGGGCCAAACGCCTTGAGAGGAGGCCTCATGATGGGGCCTTCCACCACCTCTGGTCCCACCATGACTATCTCGATACCCTGGTGTTCAGGGAACATGTTGTTCAGCTCATCAAAGTCGGTCAATCTGGCCCCCATGGTCTCATTGTAGGATGTCCCCGCTAAGTGAATGGTGAGAGGCTTAGCGTAAGGGTCAAGGCGAAAACGTTGCATGGCCTGCCCAACTGTGAGAACTCGAGAGAGGAACTCGCTCTGAATCCGCCATAAAGACTGTTTCAGTTCAGAGTCATCTGGCCTTGGCCTGCTGACATTCTTCCAAAGGGTTGCCATGTTGGAACCCGACAGTATGGTGTCCAGACGTGACGCGAGGTCCTCCTGCATAGGAAGCCAGTCTTCCCAGTTCTTTACCTCAGCAGCTGACTTGGACCACTTCTCAGTGGGGAATGGGAGGTCTCCTGTGGGGGTGGTAGAACATTTATGATGGATTTATGAACAAAATACAAAACTGAGGAGACAGAGAAGTTGATTCTGTCTAGCAAGTCTACATGGTGTTTGAAAAGCAATCAGAGAGATTCGAAGGCTGAGGAACTTTAATCAGAATTTCAAAAATGCACCAGTACTACACTGTGACTTTCTGTCAGTTTTTGTCTCTCAGGCATTTAATTTCTGCAGCTCAGCTCTAAAATATGCCATCTCATTAATGTGATTTCTCTGTTTTGTGAACTCAAACAGCTATTAAGGCATTTTAATTTCAGCTGCACCGCCTTTTCATTTCTCACCAGTGAACATCAGCCACTCCACTAGTCTGTCAATGGCCACCAGATGCAGCATCTTGCAGAACTTTTTATGCTGAGGCCAGTCTTTTTTCTGACATTCCTTGGTGCAGTAGTACACGTTCAAGCACCTGTGACGTAAG